ATATATATATTTTACTATATGCTTAGTATAATAGTATTGTATATACTTTTAATTAAAAAAAAATCGGTGAAGGGTGACAACTAGCCCTGGGGTTAAGGCCTGATTACATAGGGGTGTCGGCGCTCGTGCGCTTAGCGGTTATGATTTTTCGTTTTATCTCTTATTTAATAAAGAAATTATATGGAAACCGTAAAAAATATATACAATAAACATTCAGGGCGTCGGAACGGAAGTAACGAGCACGAATTGTTTGTCAAACTTCGTCTTGTTTCTACACAATACATATACGCGAACAAAGAAGTTACTAAATAGCGACTGGCAGACGAAGGCCGTCATTTATAATTCTTTCCCTATCTCTCTTTCAACAAACTATCGATAGTCTTCGAGAACTCAATTAACTGTTGAAAGAGGACGTCGATCGCTCGACATTGGAAGATGAAAACTGATCTTTCAGACGTTCGGAACGTTGAAGGTGCTGCTCATTATATACACAATCATTAACTCACACACGACGTCACGTAGTCATTAACGGCCAGCAAACTGTCAGAGTTTTAGAAATGATTAGGGAGAAGTGTAAGGTGAGATTAACTAATTACGTTAATGAGATTCAATCATATTTTCCCCTATATTAATTACGTATTCATACAAGGTCAGCGACGCAGGTCGGTGTGTAATACTAGCTTGATTACATATTTTCTAAATAAATCGTGCGGTAAATTAAATAAATAGTCAAAAAAAACTACGACCACAACCTGCCCATGCTGATAGCGTGAGCGACACATGTTTTCCATAATAGCATGGTACAAGACGGGAAATGTGCTGACGTAACTCACAGATTTGACGTAAGCAAGAGGCGTGACGTCATAGTCTGACAAGCTGCTGACATTTAGCAGAAACGTTCACGTCACTAATGCCTAAATGTTGAACAATTTTTGAACAATAAATTGACGTCTACCAACCATCATCGTGTGTGTTCGCAACTGCCGGTAGGGGGCATGTTTGTAATTCTATATGAGACTTTGGTGATTCCGATTCAAATTTTGATGGGCTTAGTAATTCGTTTTTCCTGTGGAAAGAAATAAATAATAAAAAAAGATTCTATTAAGAGAAAGAAAACATATTTCACAATTAAACAAAAAGAGATGAATGAAAAGGGACAAAATAGGAAGAAGAAAGAGAAGCGAATAAAAGGATACGAGAAAGGAGAAGAATGATAAAGATAATAAAAGAACAATTTTGAACAAAAAAGAAAAAAATCAGAATACAAATTGAATAGCGACCCACAAGTAAATAATAGATGAACTTGGAACGTTAGCAAACAAAAAGACATCTATAAAATGCTTGACAAACACACTCCGATAGGTCTAAGTTGGGATTTGTTATGCATATACACGAACTGTTTGTTGAACGGTTTTGCTTGAATGTTAGTTCTGGAATTCTTTGCATAATTTTTCCCCTCAAAAAAGAGAAGAAAAGAAAAGGTAATAGTAAAAAACAAAACCTTTCTAAAATAGCTAACTGACTGACTTTTTTTTAGAATTTTTGTATGGTAGTTATAAGCTTTTAATGATAATCATAACAACAATAATAAAAGGGTCTTATCTGTACATCTTAGTAAATTTTTTCTACATTTTCCGTCTTATTTATATATGTATATGCCCATTTTCATTGTTAAATCGTATAAAGAAACGTGTACGCCCTACATTTCTTAGATATAGAAACCATTATATCAGTCTGCGGTATAGATGCACTTATGCACGCCTACGTGGTAAGTGTACGTGTAATTATTTAATTGCCGTCAGTTTTAATAATTGTAAGAATTAAACAGTAACACTATGCTTAACAAAGGGATAATTAGAGAAAAGGAAAGAGGGGTAGGCTCTCCCGTAATCTTCGTCTCATTTTGACGCATATTTATTACGTAAGTAACTCTCCTTATAATTGGTAGCTATTCGATCTATAAAGAAGAGGAGCTTGGTGTTTTTTCGAAGAGTAAACAATAAAAGCAACATTTATAGGCCTAAGCCTTAATAAGGTAAGGACGAAGAAGCGAGACAGGAAACGCTTCTTTCATCTAAGCCAATAGACGCCTTTAAGAGACGTCTGGGCGTCATCGGCAACTTGCGTACATTAAGAGATAGAAAAAAAGTCTAAGGAAGAGAGGATAGAACAAAGATACTTAGATTAAATGGTAAAAAAGAAAAAAGAAAAAAAAAGTAGAGAAAAAAATAAAGAGGTTAAAAAATAAAGAGAAAATAAAAAGAAAACATTTACTTACCCAACCGACAAACAAGGACTGGCAGTCGTTGATCTCGTATGATAATCAGTATTGTTATTTTCCGATTCGAACTTGGCTTTGTCCACCTGTTGATTAAACCATATAACGTCGAATTTATTAAGGTGTTTTTTAACTGTTTCTATATAGTAAGTCGTCATATCAACGAGCTCTGGCTAAGGACTGACAAAATTCCCCTCTTATCGAAAAGAGCGAAAGTGTCTGGCTGCGCACATAACCTTCTAAACAAAACACAAACTCGGCTTTTTAGACCGTTCTTCTGGTCACTGCGTGGTCAGACTTTCATCTCTGCCGCCTTATCGCAAGCTTTGTTTGCTGTTGGCGTAGTCGTGTGAAAATCGCCCTTTATCTGAAAAGGGCACCGACTGCAAAACAAAGGGAGAAAGAGGATACAGATAAAGGTGGGTGGAGAAGAAGTAAAGGTAGATAGAGAAAAGGGAGCAAAGAGAGTGAGTGAGTGAATGAGAGGGGGAGAGAGAAAAAAGAGAAAGAGAGAAAAAAAAACAGAGTTGCGCACAGGTGCGGCAGAGATAAAGTGAACAATGCTAGCACGTCGAGCGCTTGCAGGTCAGCTCCGTCTGTAATTAGCACTAATTAACCTCTTTTGTACAGAACGACGTGCATCGTGCGAAAAAAAATAACGTTCGTCCGTTTATATTTATGGAGCGTTTTAAAACGCATTTACTCATCATATTTACACAACGCTGTAAATCCTGCCTACTCTGTCTTTACAAGTTTGAACGCGTAATCCGTTTTTTCTACAACATATACACGTATATACTGTATATATACACTACAGAAGTTACAATATAGAGAATCGATTAGGACGATTGGCGAGGCTATTTAAGAAACATAAACAATCGAAAATGAAAAAAAGTGGGGCGCACAGCGGGTCTTCCCATACACAACAATTCGCAGCTGTTCAAAACCATTTTACTCGCGCGCGTTTTTAAACGCAACCTCGCGCAGAGACGCCCCGCCGACACGCATTTTTCACCTTTTACCGCCCTTTTTTTCCTCTTTTTTCCGCTCATTACGTTACGTTGAATGGCATTAGAGAATTCCTTAATAGTTTATTGGTTAAGGAGAGGGAGGAAGAGAGAATAATAGGGAAAAATGTAGAAATGAGATGGTGGTGGTAGCGTTGGTAATTGTTGCTTTATTAGACAGAATGCGCGTATAAAGAAGCTAATACGCGGTGGAGTATATTGTAGAATTTCAATATGAACGCAAAGGAGAAAGAAAAAGAGGGAAAAAGAGGGAGAGTTCAATCCTTAGATTGTTATCAGTTAAAAAAAAGCCCTAAAGCAAAATTCTGTTCTGAAAATCTGCGCCATTTTGTCACAACTGCCACCCGTCGAAACTTGCGATAATTGGTGTGAAAGGTGGTGGAATGCCCACCCAGAAAAATATAGGCTTTAAGGGATGAGGGGTGGAGGTGGAGAGAGCTGGAAACTTTCCCTTAAATCACTTCGACAAACAGGTAAACACGCAGCTACTGAAGTTTATGATGACGTCGAGTCAACAGAGTTGGCAGGCAGAGCTTTTCTCTACAGTGAAAATATTTGAACAACTTGCCTCTTGTATACATATTTATTGTTTTCGATTAGGGGAGTTTCGAACGAAAAGAAAAAGACATTATCTGTTCAAACATCGATTACATAAGGTGACGTCCGAACGAGATGTCGTTATGATAAAGGTGAGTTACGGCATGGACGCTTTTTACGTTGACGTTTCGCTTTCTCCACCATCATAACGATTATTCAAAGCGCTGACCCGTAACTATTCGATTATTTTCTCCCCCAACCTCGTTCATTTTTTTTAATTTTCCATAGGGCACACACTTTGTCGACAAGTGATTTACGACCGACGTATATAAAGAGTATTTATGGCATCGCCTCTTTCTATACAAGAGGTGTAATTTCAATTAGGAGGCGATTCTATCTCATATAGACAACATGAATAACTTGGCGTCTCATTAGAAACTGTGTAACCGAATGCTGGGAGAATAAATTAGAAAATTTGAAAAAAAAAATAGAAAGAAGAGAGAAATGCTTTCGTGCGTTAACGCCTATACATATATAAGGGCATCAAACGTTGTTAGAGGAATAGTTGCATTTAGGTACTTCGTCGAAGTACATCTGTATAATACTACAAAACTACGAAGGGCTAATAAAACATGATAGAGAGAAGAACAAGTTCAGGGAACAACAGTAAGTTTATAAAGCATTTAATTTTCCCTCTTTCGAAAGCAAGTCAGATGCGCATAAAGTGAAAGTACACAAACGTTCATCCAAACATCAAATAGACGCAAAAAAGACGGCAATCACTACTGTCCACAATTCGGCCCCCTCCCAAAATCACAACGGTATACAAGAAGAAACGATGTTGGCATAATTATATTTAGATTTTCTTCTACATTGCATTTCCAGACGAACAGACGCCAATAAGCACTCGATGAGTTAAATGCAGTTTTTGTTCAGTTTAAAATACGGTCAATATTAGCAGCTAGATTTGCGAATTTGAACAAGGAATTATAGACGGACTCTCCACCCTCTTAGCAATTTGTTGGAATAAAATCGTAAAAACAGCATCGCCCAGTCAACGACACTCGAATATCAAAGAAACTCCCTCCAAGCGTCACCAGTAGCGTTTCCCCTACTGTGGGCGCCAGCTAATCGTCTCAATAAATCAGTAGACTGTGTGTTTAAAAAAATTTTCCTATTTACTGCAGCTGCCGTCGTTTTATAAAAGATGCGAATAGATCGATATATTCTCACGTATATATACGCACATAATAACTCCATATAGCATATATATATATATATATATAAATCAAGATTTATTAATATGACGGCGATGCCCAGAATACTCTTTCGTATATTGTGTGCGTGTATAAATAAATATATACACTGTACCCTAAGCTTTACGTTTGACTGTTGTTGAATCTTTAACCAGCCTTCACTTCATATTTCACGGTCGACAACGTCCGATAAATAGTTTACATTCTCCAACTCTATTATTGCTACACGTCGATTTTGCCTTTGCATACATAGCACTCTACGGCGCAACAAAGAGCGAAAAATCGCCGCCGCCAATTTTCCCATCAAACGACGATGAACAACGGGATTTAAAAAAAAAGCTTTGATCAACTAGAGACATTTATAGAGGAGAGGCCCCGAAGACACAAAGCAGGCCGACCGTCTCAACCACAACAAAAATACTCGCCAAGTCTACAAACGTTATTTACCCGAGTCAACATCGACGACAAAAAGTTCATTATCAGTCACAACACAACTTCTTCTTCCATTTTATATTATATATATTATATATATATATATATATATATATATATATATATATATATATATATATTCGCATGTATTATTATAAACTATGCAGCCTCTTATATACCTGATACTTAGATGTTAATGTATATAAATTTTATATGGATTTAAATACTATGTAACATATAAATACATAGTACACGAATCTCAATTGAGAGAATAAATTTATAGGTACAAATAGAATAAAATGACAACTTCGTATAAAAAAAACTAGATATACCGCATATACTGTATATATATATATGTATATATATAGCTAGTGGTACTATATAGTGAATGGATATATATATATATATATGTCTGGTATGTAAAAAAAACATTCACATTCATACATATATATATATAAATGAGAAGCAAGGAGTATACTTAGTGTACACTGCAAGCATTGTCATGTTAATAAAAATGTATATAGCGTATACATCCTTATAGATGTATACACACACATATATATATAGATCTATATGCATATATAAATACATATACAATTATATATATATATATATATATATATGTATATATATTAATATAATACTTTAATACAATTAGAACTATAGATATATAGATGTCTACATTTTTTAATATATATATATATATGCTATAATGTCATAATATATATATATATAAATACGCATGTTAATTTTATATAAAAAGACAAATCCATAAAGACTATAATAGTATAAAGGTAAAAGAAACCATAACATCTATTAGAAAATATATACCTGCCAGATTTTATGCGAGGAGAATTAAGTCGAACAGTTTTCACGCCTATTTTATTCCCGATAAATCAAAGTTGGTTGGACAGCCTTAACTCGTTTAATGCCCACATACCTGCCTAACAGAGGGCGCTCTTTATAACACCTGCGTCGCGCATGCGCACTTTGATTAAAAAAACCGACGTCTCTAACTAAAAGCGACGCGCTATATAGTTACTAACGTTTACTTTTCTTTCGCATCGGTGATTTAAAAAGGTAGTAATAATGAATAACAAGTAGCCTGTATAAAACCGAATGAAGCGCAGGAGCAAGCAAGAGCAAACAAAAGGCGGAGCGTCACTATCACGTGACTAGCAGCCGTAAGATGAGACGCTGCAGGAAGTGGGTCAAGATTGGAAGCGTCTCTGCAGGCGCCGATCTCGGATCACATTATGAGTAGCACAGACGTTCATTAACGAACATTTCCCCCCCGTCAGTAGATGCTCCCGCCGCCCTTTGCGTGAGTTGATCTTATCTCGGCACTTGCTTCTCATTAGTGCAATCACTGAGGCTGCGATATTATGGTGCGTCTCTGTGAGAAGATGACAGGAAGAGAGGAAAAAGCGACGCCGAAGCCGTTTAATCGGCGGTACAGCTGCAATTGATAAAATTTCGAAAATCGAATTTTTCTCATCACGCATTCGCTTAATGGAGTGAGCACACAGCCAAAACACGTCAGGAATCGAATGACGCCTTTGTACACCAACTCACGTGTGACGTCACTTTCGGCGTCAAGCGTCTATTATGTAAAAAGCCTTTTCTTTTCGCGATTATAGTCATTTTCTCCGCAAGGGCCCTCAGGGCCCGGATTTCAACGTCAGTGGTAATGTCAACGACAGAATGTACGACTTAAATGCCTATAATACAAGTTAAATAATCATCTACGATTATTACTATTTACAAAAGAGTGAAAGGAATAAGAAAAAATGTTAAAGATGCGAATTTTCCTCCCCCTTCATACCCTTTATAACCTCCCTTCTTCCCCTTCTATATATTAATAATGACATAAAAGCAACGCGAATTATACAACAGAAAGCTTTCGCCATATCAAATTTCACAAGTTCGCCACTTTCCTTAATAAAACCTACATATATTCGCGCTCGAAGCGATTGTCACCGGTTTGTCTAGCGAACGTTGAAAACAAACTCGTATTACATCACAACGAAATAGCCGGCGGTTGCATTTTTTTCCTGCTCTGCTAATCAAAATACGGAACGACGTCGATAAACAGAACGAAACGATTGAAGAGGTTTGATTCTCGGCAGATGGCTTAGGCAAACCGCAGATAAAAATATGTGATTCTTTACCAAACCGTTTTTGCCGTGAGAAAATCAGAAACTTTCCTTTAGGTGGAATAGGTTGCGCAACAATTGTAAACGTATGACAATTTCGGGCGGGAGCCAGATGGTGGCCGACCACGCAAAATGTGACAACCTCCTGCCGAGGAGGACGAACCCTTCCGCCTCGATGACAAAGGCCTTTCGAGCAAATATTGAATAAACACCATCTCTCTAAAAAAAAAGAGAGTCATGGGGGCTGTTGAATCGCGGTCTTCCTCTGGGGATTGGGACGCTTATGCATAATATATAGAATCGGCTTCCGACAAACAAAGGTGGGGTGTGATGAGTTCATTAGTCTTAGACGCTCTTAAAACGCTCACCTCTGACCCAACTATTGTCCAACATCAACCGGATTTCGATCCGATTAGGCGTTTGCCGCGGACGAAAAAATCAATGGGGATTAAGTAATCAATGGCGAGTAAACATCTTAAGCCTATATAGCAGCCGACGATTCGTAATAAGGCTATAAATGATAAATGACGAACGCTCTCGGAACTTTATCGATTTACGTATCGGATGCTGTAATTAGCGATTGATTGCCCTCCTCCGTCGAATTTTTTACGCTGTAACAGGCAGCGCCCTCTCGGAACTTCTGGAAAGAAAGTTACCGCCGCCACTATGCTTGCCAATTAGTTATCCATAAGCACACCTGTCGGTAGAGCAGGAAAAAAGGGAAAGAGATAGAGAGAAGGAAAAAAGGCCACATCGGTATCGTTTGAAGACGTTTTAAGAGAAGCGTCACTCGATCTGGTCAATGCGGTCAGCGTGCGGCTTTTAGAATGGTTTCGGATGTCGGAATACTTGACAGCGACTGGTCAGTTAAGGAGGCACTTGCCTATATTCTTCCTTTCGTCCGTTCATAATCGCCCTATTTCTCGGCTCGATTTCCCAATGATATACGCGTTTCCAAACTTTGTATATCTTGCCCTTCAATCGGCGTTCCTTTGAAGGCGATAACGTTCGATAACGGAAGAACGATACGTTTGTATTCGCTAAGTGGTTTTATCGCTCATTAAACGCTTTCACCCGCCATCAATCAATTTAATTTGTATCGATTTACGCCTCGTTCGTTCGGAAAAACGAAAAATTCTCTTTTTTCCATCTCCTCCTTTCTTTTTTCTTATTGGACAAACATTGTGTACAGTGCACACAGTAAATACTACTGCATATATTTATAGTTATATAAACATCGGAGTAGGCTGGAAATTATCAATATGACAAGTTGGTTAAGCCCCAGGGCGTCATTAGAGGAAGTGATATAAAAGTAGGCATTCAACGCCCCACTCATTAAGGCACCTGCGCATTACGCAATCAGCGCGAGTCGTTGAGAGCGTTCAATGTAAACTAGAAGATTAGCTGGATTGAAGTTGACCATCGCCATGGCGATGACGGGCGGTCACTTTGAAGTGGACGAAACCGAATACAAGGTGCGTGAGTCGACGCACGCGTCCCGACGATTGAACGGGCAACTTTTTTTTCTCGCTCTGTCCGTGCATTTTTTTTAAAGTTTATTGTAACGGTAGAAGAGTCCTATTGTTGGTCGGCGGCCTAGCAAACGGTTTTTCCTTACAAACAAGGCGATCGGATGGATTTCCAAGGGCGCTGGCGCCGGGGTTGAATCGTTAAAAGGTTTGGTAATTCGACGACGTTCATTTAACAGCCCGAATGACGCGGCACGTCATTCCTTTTTCTCTCTTCCACGAGCTGTGGTAATTCTACTCTCTCCTACACCTACGCGCGAGAACGTGAACAATATAATGGACGATTAGACGACGAATCGATCGGGGCAGGGCCGATGTGACGTAATCAATGCATAGCACTTTCCCTTCAACAACCGACGACAAATAGCTGGCGGAGGAACGGAAGTTTGCAGATGCGCGTCTTAATATTTTTATTCCGTACCGTGCATTCAATTCGTTTCTTAATCTCAACTCTTCTCTCTTGCTTATGGCAAAATTCTGACCAGTGTCGAAAAGTCGCGCTCACTATAACCTTTAACCTTAATCAATGACCCTCACCTGTGACACCTGCTCGCAACGTGCCTCGTATTCGCCTGACATTTATTTGAAGCAGGCTTTGCTCAATAATTTAACTCTCTATAACAAATGATGTAATCAAGATCGAGCTATTTTCTGGTAATAAAGCAAATTTCAAACTCTACTGTAAAATTTTTACCGCCCTTATTCAATTACTTCTTTAGGCTCAAATGTATAACTGTTAACGCCATCTACCGTTCTAAGAAAGAAAATATTATGCCATCTGCCGAAAATTGGTTCACGACAAGAAGCGAAGACCTACCAGGCCTATATTGTTATCCATGGTGCAACGAGTTCTCAAAATCCTTCATTACAACTCGCGATACAATAACAAGATGAAGAAATTGGCAAAGATTAATTTTGAAAGAGCGCACAAAATTGTTAAAAAGTCGTGATTTACAATGATGAACACGAAACATCGGTCACGATTTCTTTAGCATAATAATGATATAAATCATAATATTAAAGTAGTTTTCTTTGTATGAGTGATGGTGGAGGATATGTGTATACAAAGATGCAAACATGTCTTTATATATATGTGCACAGCGTATGGTTTATAATCTTCTTAATCCCCTATCAATGTATATGCTTATAGGAATATACTAATACATATATATATGAATATATACAGTATATACTGTATATACATATATATATATATATGTATATATTTGTACATTGACTATATATATATATATACATGGCTCTCTCTTTCTACTTTATTTACTAACCGCAATTTCCTCCTCAGCTTCCATCGCTTCTTCCATAACTTTATTGAATCGCATTTAGATAATCATTCCTTGGACGTCGACTACGGAGGTGGGATATCCGACACGGTAGAAATCGGACCTTGGAAAGGCAAAAAAGAATAAGCCATAGGCCTAAGGCGAATATAAACAAATAGTATGCAAAATTTCCCGATAAGCCATATCGTTTGCGCCTATTGTTTTTATTCATTCTACGCCGGCGGCGGACAAACCGATAAACATGCCGTGCATTATATGCGGCCCTGTATATTTTACAACATACATGCATGCATAGTACATAACAGAATAGTTATATGTGTAGCGTATTGTAGATGTAGATATATATATATATATATATAATTAGGAATGCTACAAGGAAAAATAGGTCGCTGTTGACAAGTCGGACACAGCTGACATTCGGTTGTTTGTCACTTTAATGAACGTGTGTAGCGATAAGGTGGTCTGTAATCTGGAAATAAATGAGTCTGTACGCGTAGTTTGTCGAAATTTTTTCATTAATAGCGGTTGTTTGTTGCAAATAATCTAAACTCGCATTTCGACCCTTTCACACTGCGGCAGAGGACAATCTGCAATCCGGTACAAACGACCATTGGGTTTGAACCAAATCTTTCGTCTTTCGAGGAAATAGATCAGCATTTTGAGAGCTCTTTCAGTATACGTTTGAAAGGCGTATAGTCGCTTCAAATTCGGCAAATAATCTAAATTCGCAGTTAGAACTTTTGTTGTTATCAGACAACACCTGCTGATGTTGAGAACTTCCAGATTCTTTGTTCTTTTACATAGCAAAGAGAATCCTTCTTCTGTCAGATCGGTCGCTTCGCTTATATCTAACTCTCTTAAACTTTCCAAGTTTGTTTTGCATATTTCCCACGCCAGGTCATCGTCGAATTCGTTTCGGAAGCCTGCCAAATTGAGTTGTTCTATGGTCGATGAACACGGAAAGATGAGATTAAGGAATCTTTTACATTTTATATTGTTGATAAATGCAGATTTTAGCTTTTTACAAATCTTCAGTAGGTGTTTAAAAAAGTTCTTAGCATTATTATCAATGAGAACACGGTCCAAAAACAAAGTAGTCAAATGAGTATTTTCGGGTAAATTGTAAGATTCGCTTGGCAATATAGAGATATCACGCAAACTTAGTATACGAATATTCGAGCAAATTCGAATCCAAGTAGCCAATTCTGATACGTTCATACTTCTTTCTCTAATATATACACGAGTTAAATTATTAGCGAAGGGTTGAAAGTCAAGTGAGGTTAATACGGAAGAACTAATTATTCCGTTCCATAACAAAAGTTCTTTTTGGAATAGGCTTCCCCTAAACTCGTTTTCGCAATCTATTCTGTCACGGATTACAACGCATCTTCTCAATGATTCATCTTTACTTAACGATCTCCACAAAGAACAAGTTTGACCAGCAATAGCAAGATCTTTCGAGTTAAGGTGAGAGAAAATCTTCAAGACAATTTCCTTAGGAAGAAAGCTGTAATTATACTCATTATCCTGATCATACAATGGTTTCTTAATTTCTAGCGGCTTTTCTTCAATCTTCCTCTTTTTAGCGTTTGAAACTAATGGTACAACTTGTAACTCTCCCATAAAGTTTTCAAATTCTTCGCTGAATCTTTTTAATTGACGAAACTGTTCCATCTGCCAAAAAATACACAAAATTTTGCTTCATTTTTTTGTTAAGTAGTTTGTTTGTCCATTGGAAGTCGTGATAATTTTTTCCATTAAAATCCTTGTTGTTTTTGTTTTTTATTTGCGTGTGTATAGTTGTCTTTTTAAATGATGATTTAGTAGGTCGATTAGAAGGAAAAGATGTTAGGGAAATTAGTAAAATTAGTAAGATATTAATGATTAAAAAAAGAAAACTATATAATAGATATTAGCAGAGTCTAATGATTAGTTTGTACTAAATTCGGTATGCAACGTGTTTTTCTTTCTCCCTTTTAAAATATTAAGGTCAATCTCGGTAAATATTAAAAATATGTTAGTCGGTAAAATTTTAACAAACCATACAAACTATTATATACGTAGTATATATAATCAACACGTTTATACATGTACACACCCATTCACAACAGTCATGACTTTTTGAAAATAAATACTGTAAAACTAGGTTAAAATATTTATGAAATATGCAAAATATCAATTAAAAAATAGAGAGAGAGAGAGAGAGAGAGAGAGAGAGAGAGAGAGAGAGAGAGTAGGAAAGGTAGATATAATGATTGAAGAGATAGTTAGATAAAGAAATTCTAGATAATGGAAAGAAAGAAAGAAAAAATTTCTCCTTCTACTAAATAACGTATGTAAATTTAGCTGAGGATATTTTGTTTCAAATACACAATGCAATTTTATACAATCAATTTCTCACATAGGTTAATACCATTCAGTTTGTTAATAATTCCAAATAGTCATATCATATATTTTCTTCTTTCTTAGTCCGATTTAATTTGAAAATTAAAGAGAAGATTTGAGACAAACAATATACGAAAATGAGACAAAAAAATTTAACGTTGTCAACAATGCCTAATTAAGGACATATCGTTCTATCACCGAATTTAGAAGTTTTATAAAGTCCAATATGGCTTTAAAATGTGATGGAAAAGTTTACCGATAGGATAAAACCAAACGAAAACGAAAGTTTACCTTTCGATGAACGCAAATCACATGGAATTCGAAACTTAATAGCCGGCAGCCATCTTGAACCCACAATGGCGAATCTTGGTTGTGCAAGAACCAACGCTGTGGTTGGGTACATTATCGCGATCGTAATGTTCTATATATGAAATTCGGTTTATAATGTTTTCACAAAAAGTTTATCATATTGCTTATTCATTAAATATATTATCATTAAACAGTAAACTACTTAAATGCGTTTTTACATCATCAGATCTTTGCATAAGAAGAGCGGGAAAAATTGCGATACGAAGGCAAACGTACACTCCATAGACCTGAACACCTAGATGACTATCAAAGGACTTAAGAAATCATCAGCTTTAACATAGTATTATCTTGAGTGCTTTCGGATCGTATAGCATCTATAAACACGAGCCTATTAGATAAATGTAAATGAGTAGCGAGATCTAAAACTCCTTCCATCAGATGGAGACATATATTTGATATAAAACGCCATCTATAGTATATAGATAACAACTTTTTATTCACTTGAAAAAAAAACAAATTTCATTGGCAGTAAAAAGCAATTAACAAACAATAAAAAAAGTATAAAAAAATTAACAATCTTACTAAACTACTCCAAGGTATACAACATTTTCTTCGTTAGATTTTTTAGGCGTCGAATGCCTTGTGGAAGACGCTTTGCGTAATTGTCGACCTACTCTTCGAAGCTTTCTTAATATGCCTTTTTTCTTTTCTTTATCATTTTTAAAGTCACCTAATACTGATGAGTTGTCCAGGACTGTTGTCGTTGTAGAAGTCCTAGTTGTACTGAAGCTAACATCGCTTCCTGATGGATTTCGGCGACTTCTCATTTTATGGCGGAATAAGGCTAAGAACGAGTTGCTACCAGGCTTTTTCTCATCTTCGAATGCTTTAAAAGGTATAGGACCAACTTCCGATGAGACTGTATAGGTACGTCGAATTCCAATAGACTTAGGAGTCTTTGGAGATGGCTCAGGTGTTATAGAATATTGAGAATCAGAGAGATAGGCAGACAGTTCATGAGGAGGAAGTTTCACGCAAGAAGGAGGCGTGATTGGAGATCTGAATATATCAGACATCGGAGAATCTTTACATCTCTTCAATCTTCTTCTCATCCTCTTTTCTTGTAATCTCTTATGAAGTCTTAACAGAGTCGAATTTACATCCATAATTAATCTTATTTTCCTCGTGAGATAGATGCGTATGAGAGAACGTCAGGTATGTGACTGGTGACCGATTGTGGCTGATACGTTTAAATATGAAGCAGCTCGGCTTGCGTTGAAATCGCTTGACGGGCCTGCCAACCGAAAGTATCAGTGAATTGAGTGTTACATGTAACAGTGAAAGGTCAGAGGCGAGTGCGCAGAAAATCGGTGAAAATGTTCAGTACGTTCGTTTCGAAAGCACTTAACGTTAGCCAGCCCCCAAAAACTCATTCGTTGAATGAATAGCTCAGTGGGGAAACTTTCAAAGCTTTGCTCCTCCCTACTTTCGTCATTGAGTGTTTGTTTTTCCTTTCTTTCTTTTTCTTATAACAAAAAAGAAAATATTAGATTTTTTTCAAGGGATAAAGATAGATAACGAAAGTCGACCTATTTAGAGAACAATAACTATCGATATTAAAAAGAACATAAACAAGATTAAAAAAAATCATTAAAACTTAGGAATAAAACGTGATTAAACTCGTTTGTAGTACTTTATGTGGGCTAATACAAACATAGTTTGTATGAATTATTGAAAACTAGATATAGATCTATGTAAGGGGCGTTTCGTCATTTTGACAGCGGTTCCTTCAAAGAACAGTGTTAAAAAGATTATGTAATAGGTCTTCTCTTTGATTTGGTGCGTCTTGCGGTTCGTAATTGGATTTGAAAAGACAGAACAAAGGGCAATTAATTTTGTAACCGCCTTAATTAGCTTTTAACAACAATATTCCCAAAAGAAACCTTACTATACACTCCTCGATTTTTTTTTATTGAACGTTAACTTTATTACCAAAGATACGTTGTCGCCAAGCAGATTCAAAATGGCGATATATCGTTAATCCTCTATCCTTCATGCATTTATTATTAATACGATATATAATCGCCTTATCTATTTAATAAATTAATTTCAACAGATAGCAATAGACTCGGACAAGGTTAGATTTTTACCATGACGACTGACTATTTTGGCGGGATAATCATTTCTGACCCGTTTGTAACCTTCTCTTTTCCCTGCAGTGATTGATTGACGATCGATTAACCTATCGGTTGGCGTTGGTAATGGCTATGAAACAGGTTTTATATTTCTGAAATGGCGAATAAAATTGTGTATGTCGGTAAGTGTTTGTTCGTGTGTTTTTTTTTTATCAAAACCAATATTTAACCTACAATTTTTTCAGATTCACTTGACGTTCAAAAGAACAATTTCGTAAGTTTACTCTAAATTTACTTTTGTCAATATTTATAACTGTCCTCTCTCTCTCATATTCACACTCATATATATATATATATATATATACACCTTTTTCCTTTCTCTCTCTCTCTCTGTCGCTCTCTTTCTATACTCATTCTTCTCTCTTTCCTTCTTTCCTTCCTACACTACAACTCACACTCAATCTTTAAATAACTTTCTTAATTATAAGTTTATTATAATACATATGGATCTAGGCCTTCATAAGACATCTTGGAGATAATAAAATGAAAAAGAGAGAGAAAAATAAGAGAGGAATTTTATCTATTATACGTCCTGCATTTTTGTTTCCTTTTTTTTCTTATATCTTTGTGTTACGTTTTTTTTTATTATTATTAAATACTACAAGTGGTCGATAACGAAATTGAAGAATACCTTTACTTTTTTAATTACTTCTTAATTTAGGCCTAATAGATTTTTTTTTTAAATAAGATTTATCAGAAGTTCGCTTAAGCGCTAGCCAACAGCCTGCGTGTTCAAATAGCAACGATAGTTTACTTGTCTATCAAATTCACGTTTATACTATTCGTTGCTGTATTTAAAGGAAATTGAGATTATCAACGTAAAATAATTAATAACAATTGAAGTCTTGATGACTGATTTAATAGAATTTAAAGGAGTAGGAGTGAGATTTGTATGGAAGACCTTTTTCTCTTTATTTTTTGTATATAATAATTTTAATAACAAAAAAACAAGCAAATATTTCTTTTATAAAAGGCGAAGATCATAATATTCCAACACAAAGTAGCGCTAATTAATTTCTTTTTTTTACAGGAGGATTTGTTAGTGACTGATCCCCTTTTTGTGGAATATTTCAACGAATTTCTCCAGTTACCCACTTTTCCAGAACCGTTATGTTTCAATCGGGATACTGGAGGCTTCGAGATAGTCTCTACGGAGAAGAAGGAGATTGCAAAACGTATCAAGGCCGCCATTCGATCGGGAATGAAGAAGAGCAGAATATTTTATCCAGTACGCCATCATTCTTTCAAACCCCTTCCAAAATTACTCATGGAAGAGCCGAAAGATGATGGAAGAATAGAAATCGATACTACATTTAGCGTTAAAGTGAGTAAATGAATGAAAGAGAGAAAGAGAGAAAGAGAGAAAAGAAGGAAAATGTTTTATTAATTAAGGGCGCATATGTTGGATTATAAAATGCATTTTTTCTATTTTTAACTTTTCAGACACTGAATAAAGAGCAAGGAATTGAATGGATTAAAGCCGAACGTTTACCTGCCTTTCTCGAGTCAGACACTTATGTTGAGTACCGTTTAGCTAAACTTCTGTCTCAAGTAGAATTCTCTGACGGTCAACGAAACGAAGAGTTTTTAAATTATAAAATTGAACGTCGTCCTCGGCCACCTTCTCCTGAATCATCTCCAATTCCGATTAATGATACAGAAATTAATCAGGTTGATGAGGAAGAAAGAGCTAAACAGAGTCTATTAAAAGACCTTTATGTTAGCCTGGGAGAATCTTCAACGACTCAGACTGAACTCTGGGTAGCTCAAGCTCAAGTTGCTCAAACCGAAACCGTACAATCGGATAATAGACCACTGTCTGCAGTTGATAGTGGAATAGGCTCAAGAGCACATACGGCAAAACCTGTTATACCTAGACCTAGCGATCCTATTTGTGTCACAACGCCGGATGTTTCTCGAGAACCTGTTTGTTTACAAAACAAGAGCAGTGTTGTTTATATTCAGCCAAAATCCGCAGGTGTCCGATTCGCCGATGAAACAGACTCTACTGAAGATGCTGAAGAAGAAAGTGGTCCGCTGATATTTTCATCTGTGGACGACGTTGGGGCTGTTGTCGTTGCCACAGCGATTAAACAAGCTTTTGCAGATGTCTTAGGCATTGAACCAGAACAAGTTGCAAAGCATGAAAATATTAGAAAATTATATCCTAATGATAAATATTGCGATTACGATAGTAACGCAATAGATAGTGCTGTGTATTGTATTAAAAAACCGGCAATGCAAGATTTAATAGAAAAGGAAGCGGCAGAAATGAGAGAGAATGAAAACAAAGACAAAAAAGTTGAAGAAATAGATGATGGCGATGACAAAGATTCAGCTTTAGAATCGGATGAAGAAGAAAGCGATACTCTTTTCAAAAGGAAGCCAAAGCCATATTCACTAGATAAATTGAATGGAATCAGAGCTTTTGCAAATTTCCTTACTTCCACCGCTGGTGAGAAAAACTGGCTTTTGTGGCATGATATTGATAGATTACCCTTTGTTCCGGAGGAGCATTTGACAAATTACATATCAGCTATGAGAGAACGCTATCACGCCCAGAATGCGGCCTACAGATTATCAGAACAACTGCTGACACAATTGACCCTACATCAGCCATTTTCCTGGAACAAAGATCACCTATTAGAATGTCAACATCTTGTTGTTATCCCATTACTAACATACTGGGCCCCTAGATTTCTCTTACAAGAAAATCAAAAGCTAGAAAGAGAAAGCTCTTTGTTAAACAAATTATTAGAGTACAATCAGTCGAGAACGAAAACTGAATTTATACCAACTCCAAAGGCTCCCCCACTACTCCCTAGACGATCGGCATCCGTTCCGCAAAGAACTCTCCAAATATCAGACGCATTCGCCCCTGAAGAGAAGACAGTTGAGACCGAAAAAGTAATTGAACTGACAAGACCAAAATCTGCAAGACAGCCTATGCCACCTTTAAGGCCAGCCGCTAGTAGACCTACGACAGCAAGACCCGGAACAGCCCGGCCTACCCAACGAGGGGCCGCCAATAACAAAACTCCAAAACAACTTATAGAGGCCAAAATTAGGATGGAAAGAAGAGAAAGAGAGGAATTTGAAAAACAGATTAAAAGAGAAAACCAGATCGAATTGAATAAAAGGAGAAAGGACGATGATGAAACGTCAAGCACGAGTTCCAATGACTCCGCTATATCATCACCGAGTACTTATAGGCCCTCATCATGTGCATCTAACAAATCGAGCGCTTTTAGTGAAGAGTCCGATTGGTTAGGAGGTCGAAGGATGCAAGGGCTTTTGAATGCGTTGGTTAACGAAAGACGATCCGGAGGTGTTTTTGGAAGATTCATTGAGAAAAGTGGAAATCCCCTATGGTCTAATTGTCTAGCCTTTTGGCAAGAATCATTTGATTACGTAACAATGTTTGATGACCCCACCTTAAATTTATTCGAGTTGAAACGACACGCCAATGCCTTATTTGCTAAATACATCGTCGAGGGTTCTCCCATGTCGATAAACGCCTGTAGGCAATTGCAAAGGGATATTGAGAGGAGACTAAATCCGCCGTTCGACGATCTCTTTGCCGGGGCAGAGGAAGTGGCCTTAGACGCTCTATTCGACGCATGGACTAGAATGCTATTAGACGATTGTGCAACATTCGAGAAGGTTCAACTAATCGAGGTAACAAGACGTTTAGACACAAAATCGAAACATTTAATCGCCTTACAAAGACGGGGTGTAATAAAAGATATTCCGGAGGATGATGATATATCGATGGACGATTACGCTGATCCTGTATATGATGAGACGCTTTTAGAAAAAATACCGGAGGAGTTTCGTGATTATTCATTCGAAAAACTAATTCATAATCGGATTGAATTGGAATACTTTAGGAAATTTCTTGCCGATAATTACGCAAGTATGGATCTGATGTGCTGGATGGATATCGAAACATTTAAACGTCTACCGCATACGGAAGAAAAGAAAAGAGACGAAAAAGCAAAGGAGATTAGAGTAAAATATCTTAATAAAAAATATTTCTTCGGTGTCAATTCACCAGCTGGAAAGGATACTCAAAACCGATTAATGGAATCTGTCGGTGGTTGGGGAAAGTTACTCTCCGAAAGACCACCGACTCAATTACTCCTTGATGTCCAAAAAATAGTAGAAACGAGATTAATCAAAAAGTGGTTACCTTTATTCCTTGCTACAGACGATTTTGGTCAACGTCAAAGACCTCCCACCAGGATGAGTGATGCAGCGGAAGATTTTGGCATTCAAAGAAGAAGAAAAGTTAACGCCCTCCATAAGGTAAATGACTAGTTAAAGAAAAAAAAACAACTTTCCAAATAAATTACGTGTAATCAATTTCGTTTAGATGTTGGATAGCAAATGGATTTCTTCAAGCAAAGACGTTCTGGTCTTCAGGTTCAAAGAATTTGTATTTTTCTCATTATCATTGCTTCTACTATGTTTTTTTCTTCCATTTTAGAAAAGCCTTATTAAACCCTATAACTTCTTTGCAATTTCGAAAGTTTGTCTCTTTACAAGGTGACAACTTGGAAAATGATGTTCTCTTTTGGCAAGAGGTGCAACGATACAAAGAAGTATGCCATAATCATTGCGATAGGAATGTGATAATAGCAAAGATAACATCTATACTTAATTGTTTCATTGATTCTGCTATACCGCCTTCTTTACAGGTTAATTATTAGGAAAATTAACTTGCTATTCATTCAAATGAGATTCTAAACGAATAATTTGAAAATTTAGATTGATGTTCCCCAAGAGATGGCTGATCGTATTTTGAATAAAAAGAATGAGGCGGGACCTTATTTGTTTAGAGAAGCTCAATTAACCGTCTTTCGAGGTACGTTTTCAATCAAATTCATCTTATTAGATCATTCTTAAAAAAAGGTATTTAACGCACAGTTCTTTTTGAATATTGGGAACCTTTTTGTAAATATCGCCAAAAACTCTCCGAGGATAAGATTATACCAACAATTGAGCGTCATAGGAGAAAATTCCGACAACAGCAAAGGGAGAAAGAGAGAAAGTTAGAACAGCAAAGAGAAGTCGAATCGGCTGAGAAGAGAAAAGCCGAAGTGGAAGACGAAAACTTTGATCCATTCGCCGAAGGTGGTGATTCGTCCAAAGTACCTTCTCATTTGTCTTGGTCGTACGGCCAATATATGAATGCATTGCACAGAGAAGAATTACTTAATGAGGTTGATGCGTCAACATTTTCATCCTCAGTCGTTGATGGTAAATAGAAACAAACAAAAGCTAGCTATATACAGTATAATTAATTATTTGTTTTTCTTCCAAAATAGTCACTATTCTTGACGAAAATGATGAATCAAAGTAAGAATAATTACATCATTAACTATTACTAATCATAGTAATAATAATATATTTTATTCATTAAAAAAAAACAGCAAATGTATCAGAAACAGTAGGCCTACAACCTCTCGACCAAAATCTTCGGTAAGAAAAGGAGAGAAGATTGAATCATGTAAGTAAAGATGTATATACTATACTGTATATATAGTATATATATAATGTATATATACACCTTTTTATATGTTTAAATGTAAATAAAACTATCTAATTCCTATTGCAGCCTCACAAACAGACACAACTAAGGCTTTACCGAGAAAATCTGCTCTAAAATCGAAAAAATAGACTTAATAAAAAGTTTTTTCATGACTAGTTGACGTATAAACGGAAAATGGGATATATATATACAATATATATATAATATATATATATATATTGAATGTGAATGCACTATTACCAGGCATTAACGATATATTGTAATAAAATAATATATTAAACCATACCTATTTCGTTATTGAATAATTTAAACCAATTAGGCCTATATACCAATTTTTGACACTTGACTGAACATGAATAAGATTCGTATTAAAAAAAATATTTTATATTATAAGTTACAATAAAATATAAGTATAGTTGAACTTGTTGTCATAAGGGTTGTTTTAGGAAGCAAAATATGACTTCTTACGGACAGTACAACCGTCAGGACTATAGTTATAATGATAAATATTTTAAAGGACAAAACAATAATACTATGGAGAAAGAAAATGAAAACAACGAATGCTCTCGAAAAACGAATCCTTTAGTTTATATTTCTACTAGGATATCAGGTTTTCTTGAGACGTTCTTCTATAGGTAATAAATTAAGAATTATTACGTTCTAACCTATTTTTTATGATACAAAAAAAAACAAATCAATTACAACCATAGATTTGGGATATATATTGGGACATATCCTCTCTTCTTCATCCTTTTCTCTATTGTTCTATCCGTAATTTGTATTGGAGGATTAACGAAATTTAGGGAAGAAGTTGAAAATATCTGGGTACCTAGTGACTCTATTGTAAGAAGGCTTTTTCTTCCATTTTAAACTTTTCGCACCTATTATCTCGTATCTGATTCATTTAAATAGGCTGTAAAGAATAAAGCTCAAGCCAGATCTTGGTTTCCTTCCGGATCAAGAGATAGAATTCAATTTAACATATTCGAATCCGACAATGTTCTGAAACCCTCGGTCCTATTAGAAATTTATGATTTCGAAGAAAGAGTGAAATCGATTTCTGGCACAGAAAGAGGAAATTTCGACTGGAATAGCGTATGTAAGCGAGTTAATGGAAATTGTGCAATAACCAGTCTTAATGAATTATGGGAATTTAATCGAACCGTAATAGCTGAGTTAACTAATGAAAATATTTTAGAGATTATCAATAAGAAAGTATTGATAAGTCCTTATCAGAAAAGAGAAATAAAATTATCTAGAATTCTGGGTGGTATAATTAGAAATAAGACAACTGGTGAAATTACTTCAGCAACAGCTGCAAAAACATCCTATACGTTAAATTTTACGGAAACTGACGTTCAGAATGGACGCAAGGTTGTTTTTTTGTCTTTCTTCTATTTCTCGAAAAGTTAATGCAATTCGTTACTCCTTATTTTTAGATTGATGAAAATGCTCTTGCGTGGGAAGAGAAATTTATAGATTTATCCAAAGATTACAGTTCCAAGAATTTAACACTATTCTATTACAGTATGAGAACGTAAACTTCTTTTCTATATGTTATTTTTGTCGCTAATCACCTCCTCTTTTTTCATTAGATTTTTAGATGAAGGAAGTGGTACTATTCTAAAGGATTTAGGTATACTAGCCGGAGGATATATATTGCTCATTGCTTTTGTCATATTTGTTCTTGGAAAGAGAAATTGCGTTCAACATAGGGTTTGGTTAAGTGTAGTGGGAATCATTACCATAGGATTATCAATTCTATGGAGTTTTGGTCTTTGTTCTTATGGCGATTGGTATTTTACAGGCCTACATAATGTTTTACCTTTTCTATTTCTGGGTATTGGGGTTGATGATATATTTATAATCGTTCAAGCATTAGATAACTTAAAGGGAGATCAATTACGTTTACCGTTACATGAAAAAATTGGTTTGGCGTTAAAACACGCAGGTGTATCTATAACAATTACTTCGCTGACGGACGTTCTTGCCTTTGCAGTTGGATCGTCAACAGTAATTTACAATTTCTCCAATTCTAATAATACCATTTGATCTCATTACGATTTATTTTTAGATTCTGCCAGCCCTGAGATCTTTTTGTGTTTTCGCTGCTGTTGGTATTTTAGGACTTTTTATTTTTCAACTTATATTTTTTACTCCGTTTATGGCGTTGGACGAAGCGAGAAGGAGTGGTATGCCCATTTGTAGATCATTATGGAATAGTCAAGCGGAAGTTACTCACCTAAAGCGCGAAAATGTTCACAGGAAGAACGCTTGCATTCCAATGCATATCCATAGCCATTGGAGACCAATGGATTGCTCAAATAAGAATTTCATTCATGCATTTTTCGAAAATTACTACTCAAGATTTATTACCTTCTTGCCTGCTCAACTAAATATTGTCATAATGGCTGTTGGTTGTTTAGCGGTTATGGCGTACGGAACAACAAGCTTAAAGCAAGATTTTGATCCGAGATGGTTCTTTCCATCAGATTCTTACGCTACAGAATATATTAAGGCTGATGAAAGACATTTTGGCGGAAGTTCTCAACAACCTGCCGCATTGTATGTAGGAGATATAAACTTTCACACTCATTTAACATCTCTAGAAGGTATATGCGATAAAGTATCTAATCACTATTGGGTAAAAGAAGGAACATTAGATTGTTGGGCTCGTAGCTTTCGTTCTTTTTTAAACAGCTCTAGCGACGCCGCAATAAAAGCTAAATTAGATAATGAAAATCTACCTAAAACCGAAAGTGACTTTATATTTTTGATAGCAAATTTTATAAAAGACCAACCTGAAAATTCTTTCAATTTGGTATTTAACGGTGATAATTTAACAGCTACAAAGATTCCATATCAAAACACTTGGCTAGATACAAGTAGTAAAAGAATAGATGCTCTAGCAGATTTAAGGTCTATTGCTGCGGCTAATAATATTCCACCCGAGCTCTCCTTTCCGTTTGCTGAAGGCTATACAAATATCGATACCGATAAGGTTATTAAAGATGAATTATTACGGAATATAGGGTTAGCTTTTCTAGCGGTATACTTGATAACGTTGTTTTTATTGGCTAACTTTACGACTTCGCTGTTTGTTTCATGCTGCGTAATTATGACGTTGGTTGATTTAGCTGGAATGATGTATTTCTGGGATTTAACTATTGATACAGTAACAACAATTCAATTAATAATATCAATAGGGCTATCGGTAGATTATGCTGTTCATATTGCCCATACTTTTCTCATCTCTAAAGGAACGCGAAAAGGTAAGAGGCAATTTGGAATTTTATAGTTTATTCCTTTAAAAAGCGAAAACTTTACAATAGTATGTGATATTTTTAGAACGAGTGCGAAAAACAATAAGTACAATTGGAGCGGCAGTCTTCTATGGAGGCTTTAGCACTTTTCTCGCTTTTATCCTATTAGCGGCGTCAAAATCTTATGTATTTAAAACGTTTTTTAAGGTCTTTCTAGGTGTTGTTATCTTTGGACTCTTTCACGGTTTATGCCTACTACCAATTGTACTTTGTTGGATTGGTCCAGAACCGTATGAGCATAAAGATATATCTACAAATACTCAAAAGCCAGTAAAGAAAATAGATAGACGATTGAACGGTCATTCAAGAAATCCGTCTGACTACTATTACGCAGGACGTCTACCAAGGAGTACCTCTCAATTTAAAAATCAATTGGAAGTTCAAGGTTATACGAATCATATTTAATAATTTACTGATCTAAACATAACTGAAATATAATTTACATCTAATTAACATAAATAGTTGTTTTTTTTTGTATTTTGAAAATGAATGATTAACATAAAAAATAAAAACAAACAAAGGAAAACGATGAAATCATTTCGTTGATTTAAAATTAAAAAACTTGTATTTTCAGTCTTGGAAGTTTTATCTCTTTCTTATCTCCCTTATCAAAAGCGTATTTGGCAAACATTTGACTTATTTAGTATAAAAACAATACGTTTTGTTTTTTTGCTTTAAGTTTCGAATTATTAATAATATTCGTTAGTAAAGCATATAGATATTTATTGATTTTGTTTGTTTGTTATTATCTAAATAACTAAATAAGACAACAATGCCAAACAAGTCCAATATGAAAGATCAAAAGAATTTAAATAAGGTTTAGAATGTTTTATTAATTATATTATTCTATGTTTATTAATATAGTTAAATAAATAATAGACATCTCTACAAAACATCGGTTATCGTATAGACGAAATTTTTTCATCATCTAATGGAAACAACAATTCAAATTACTTCGATCCAACCAATTTGAAAATTATTCTTCAAGATGAACAGATGAAAGATAAACTTCTTCGTGACAAAGAATTCCGTGACTATTTAATGACGAATACCACTTTACTCGCTCAATTATGGTTAGAAACCGAGTGCAGGCAACAACTGGAAAAAGAACCAAAGATTATCGAGCTAGTTCGTAAAGAAGAATTTCAAAACAAATTAATTATTGAGAAAGTTAAAACAACCATACCGTTGTATGACCTATTGGTCTATACAATCTTAGAACCGAGCCTTATCGATGTAATTGAGAGAGATCATGAACTTTTACAGGCGATTTTAGACGATACGTCCCTATCTGCACTGATACGTTCAGATCCAGAATACGAAAGTAGAATACTTAGTAATCCTTTCTCAATTATACAAATATTACGTGACCCAGTCGTCCAAAAGAAGCTTCTATTATTACCGGAGACAGTCTGTCGGCTAGATCGCGTGAAAAAAGGGGAAAAATTACCTAATTTTAGTTTACCTTCTTTAGCCTATTCTCAGGAGGAAATTAACCTTTTTGAACTTGACATTAAAAGAGCTGTTTTCACGTTAGGTTGCAATATGGATTCTTTAAAAAAGAAACTACGTAAAGTTGATCAGGAAAAAGAGACGATAGCTGACGGAGAACTTTCGCAAACTGACCTATTTTTTAGGCAATCGTCAAAAGGAAATTCTAGTAATAACAACGATAATACAAATAATAACAATAATAAAACAGTTGACGAAAACGATCATCAGCTAGATGATCAATTGTTATTGGAGAAAAATATTTCAAAGAGCGGGTTGATTGATACGGAAAGTTCCATGTCTGAGGAACTTTTAAATAATCCGAAAGTTACTAGATTGCAACATAAAATTGACACGCTTGAAAAGGATTATAATACTGCCATTTCAAAACTTCGTATTTATAAATCAGATCTTGAAAGGGAGGAGGAAAAGAACTTGAAATTAGAAGGTATTTTACAAGCTAAAAACGACGAATTAAGAGACGGCGTCCTCGCTTTACTGGAAGAGGGTAAATGGTCGAGTGTTAATTCATTAGTAGATGCCGAATCACGTATTAGATCATTGGAAATCGACAATGCAAAATTAAGGCATGATTTCGAGAGTGCAAAGCATAATTTGAGTAATACCGTTCAGGAGAATACTGAACTAATAAGACAGTTTAAAGAAATGACCAGGGAATTATTAACTGCTAAAAATATAATTCATCAAGCTAATCAATCAAAAAGAGATGCTGAAAATATGATGTCCAAGGTGGTAGATGAAAAACAAGTTCTCATAGATAAATTGCATCAAACAGAATCTGATATGAACTCAACGATAATTAGTATTAAGGAGCAATTATCTAATTGCGAAAATGAGAGGATGAAAACTCAACGAGAGTATACAGAGGCGATTGATATTATGAAAGAAGATATCAGCGTTTTAATGACAGAAATTACTGCTGCCAAATCATTAGCTGAAACGAAAACTTCTGCTGTAGAGCAGACAGCTAATATTTTAGAAGCGACTAAACTAGAAGTTGAAGATTTAACTAGAAAATTGGAATTAGTTACAGACGAAAATATTGGAAGTAGAAATGAATTAGAGAAGATTCTTTTGGAATTAGATATTAAGTCTAAGGAATGCGCTAATCTAAAAGAAGATGTTAAACAAGCGAAATTGGAAAAAGAAAAAGCATTTTCGGATAAATACGCTTTAATTCGAAATGTTGAAAGATTGGCGGAAGAATTAGAAAGTATGAAAAGTGATATTACGGAAAGTGGAAGAAGATTGGGCGATGCTAGACAATCTGTAATTAAAACGGAAAAATTATATGAAAATTCCCAAACGATGGTTGTATCATTACAAGCCGATCTACGATTTTCTAACGCTCAATATCAAGCTGCCGAAGATGAGAAAAAGTCTTTGATTTTAAAGTTAAATCAGTTAAATGAAAGTAATAAAATTTTAGGAAAAGATAATCAAAATCTTAAGCAGCAGATAACTTTGGAACAATCTCAGAAAAAGGAAGAGAGGAAAAAGTTTTCTGACCTTAAGAGCGAATTAACATTTATAAACAGTTCACACGATAAATTAAAAACAGAAATGGAAACTCTTCAAGCTAGTCTAGACAAAGAAAGGAATTTACATATGTCATTAAGAGAGCAATTTCTCTTAGAAGAAAAGCAGCAAGTGCATCTCCAAGATAGAATAAAGAATTATGAATTGGAAATATCTTGCTATAAGCAAAAATTTATGGAGGAGAGAGTTAGAAACGAACAATATAAAAATGATCATCAGCAGTTATTGGACGAAGTAAGAGAATTACATGTAAAATTGGAAAATCAGGAAGAAATGCTGTTAAACGAACAAGCTAAATATAAACAAACTATTGATAACATTAAATCGGATTTTGTGAGTGATTTGTCACACGCTCATAACGAAAAGGAAGTTGTTAAGGAGGGAACTGCAAAATTAAGGGAAGAACTCCAGGATATCAGGGATCAATTATCAGCGAAAGAGCTACAACTAAGATCTTGTTATCAATCAATTGGGCAACTTAACTCTGAAGCAAAAGGCAGGAAAGAGTTAGAATGCCAACTAATGCAAGCTGAAACTGAACTTAGAGAAGTATCTTCAGTAGTTAACCAATCAAAGATTGACTTACAAGAAGAAATAGAGAAGCAAAAGCAGCTCACAGAACAAAATGATAAACTTCAATTAATAATTCAACAATTGAAAGAAGGACTGAAAGTTGTTAAAGAACAATATACGAAGGAAGTTTTTTTTCTCAGTACTCAACTTCAGCAAATCTCCTCAAATTCTGAATTAGAAATTCAGCAACTCCGAAACGATTTAAATCAACGTAGTAGCGAATTAAAGGCGGCCGAAGCTTCTCTGTTGGCTGTACAGGAAGCCAAAGAAAGTATACAGATATCGCATAAGAATTTTGAAAGAACAATTGATGCTTTAAAGAGAAGACTACACCAAGAGATGTCATCTCGTAAACTTTGCGAACAACGCATGGAATCTCTTAAGACAATTAAACAGCAAGAAGCTCAAAGAAGAACGATCGATAACTTCCAGGTCGAAAAGGAAAGCCCAAAAGAAACGCAACAATTAACGGATCAGGTTATTATTCTTCAAAAAGAACTAAATTCAATGCGAACAAGTAACTATGCTCAGGAAGCTCATGTCCAAACCCTGGAGTTGCAGTTGGCTGAATTACAGAGTGAGAATTTTTCTCTTAAAAAGAAACAAGATATCATAGGAAGGAATACAAGCTCAATTGTTGACGGAAAACTAATTGAAGATATGAAAAAGCAGTTACAGTTATACAGCAATGAAAGAGCTATATTCTTTCAATCGGCGCAGAAATTAGCTCAAGATTTAGAAACATGCCGAAGTCAGGCAAACGAAAAACTAGCAGAAAATTCAAAACTTAGAGATGAACTTAACAGTTTAAAAGAAAGATTAAGGGAAATGGAAAGATTGTATAAAATTGCGGAAGAATCCGCAAGACTAGAGATTGAAGAGAAAGAACATTTTCAATCTAGAAATCAGCAATTAGAATTAATGAATATCCGATTAAAAACAACAACAAACTTAAACGATAGTTGAAAACATAAGAACAAACATATATAGTAGTTTGTTTCTATCTACTCTAAACATGTTTAAATTAATGATGGAATAAAGCATTTAAATTGAAAATCGATAAGTTTAAGGAGAAATTCCCCTTTTTTTTCCTGTCTAGATCCCTCTCCTCTCGTTCTTCTTCTACTTGATTCTAATCTTCTTTCGAATGTCCATAGAAAATAGTTTTTATTCTTGTAAGGCTCTCTGTAAATTGGCTTTAAGGGCCAATATCGATTTGATTCGATTTGATTCTTTTACTTTCTAGTCTGTTTATCTGGTTATTTTTTCATAAAAGATCGATTATAACTGACCTAAATAACTCTAGAAAATTCGATAAAACACTCGGATCGGTCGTTTTCCTAAGAGACACAAATCGAGTTTAGATGTTTTATTGGGGAATTCATTAATCTTTTTACGTTCGCTGAATGAAGTAGCGAAGAGTATATTTAGGTCTAAATTTAATCCAGACCTGATAGAATTGACAGAGAAATTGTGTTTTCTTTTCTATTGCTAGTCAAACAACCATTGTTATATTTTCTATTTTATTATTATGACGGATTTAGTGATGTATTTATTAAATTATCAAAAGACAACTTTTTTACATTAAGAAACTCTAGACAGTTTGGAATTGGTAAGATCTTCATCTCTATTGTGTTTACGCTTTTAATGTTTATCTAGGTATTATGAAAAAAAACAATCATCGTAACAAAAGCATCTACGAATAAAGCTTAGAGAACCATAGACTCTTTAGATATAGAAATATGATACCCTATGTTGAATGGAGAGCCAACAAAATGCTTTGAAATTTAATTAGTCACAATAAGAGATAGATGTTATATCAATTAAAAATAAAGGAGAACGGTTTAATACAGTCTATGGTTGTATAGAAATTTATATATAATATACAAAAATATTCATACAATATATGAAAACATAGCTTCATATATTGTTGAAATATTACTGAAAGTCTCGTGGGTTAATTAGAGGAACAGGCTTTAGCTGTGAAAGGTCAGGTTGTCCATTGGGAATGTTAAGAATATTATCAATCCTAGAAACTCTAACTTGTGTTTCCATTTTAATTAAATCTTGCAAATCTTCCTTATATCTATCAGAATTAGGAGTTTGCATAAGACAAAATTTCAAGCCATCTTCCCAAATATCACACCATTCTTTATCTGTAAATATAAAATCTATAACAGTTCCGTCAGTTTGTTTAATTTTTAAGGCAGGATTAGTGTGTTGAGATTTTTTCGTATCCCTCTGTATTTCGGATCTAGAGATACTTGCTATCTTACTTATTTCGACTATAAAAATAATAAATTCCATTAGAATACGACAAAAGGAAAATTTCTTTTTTACTTACTGTTCATTTGATCCGTCAATATCCATCGTCTATTGTGAGATATTTTTGACCAGCTAAAGGAACAACTTGACGCTAAAGTCTTCTTATGTTGCATCTGATTAAGTCGATTTTCCCTGATAGCATCTATAAAATGGGATATCAGTTTTTCGTGCAGAAACCTTAAAAATAAAAGAAAATATAAGTTAATTTTTTTTTAATGGGAAAATTAAAACTAACTTGACAGGAGAACTTTCCATTTTTTTCTTTACAATACTACTATATCCGAATTTCCATTCATTCTCTATCTTTTTAAAATCATATCTTAGTATTTCCGATCTAAAGTCTTCCATTTTTAAAATATGATTTTTGCTTCTACTCTGAAATAGTTTTGTTATAAAGTCAATAACAATTCCTACATCTCCCATGGATGATGCTTTCATTTCTTTCCATGTTTTGGCGAATATTTGAATCATTAAAGAAAATAACTCTTCAATCGGTTTTTCGATAGTGAATAACATTGGTTGAAAAGAAATAACATCTCCGTCTTCTATAAAGATAAGTTATTGTTTTTAATGTATTATATATACGTACTTTAATCTACTCTTACCTTTTACAGTCTCCGATAGATCTAGAAAGTCGCATAAACTCCTTATTAACATTTTACAAGTGTAGAAAAATGGAAATTTTTCATTCATTAACCGATGAAAGTCATCCAATTGATTTTCAGCATAAAATAGTAAACAATCTACTAGTAAAGTTGTAAATAATTTCTCTTCGTATTGACTTGAGCAATGTTCAAAGCTGTAATCGTTCTTTAACGATTCAATTTCAGCCCTATTAAAGAATTTTCTTTGAAGATCACTGATTGAGCTAAGTATTCTCCTTTCCGAAAAATTATCCATCTTAACACTACAAATAAATTTGAGCAGAAGTAATTGTAAAGTTTTTAAATGTTCTATAAATGATGAAGGACAATGTTCAACTAATGAAAACTTTCTTAAACTTAAAATATCGCTCTGCAAAAAAAATACAACACTTTGTATATATGAAAAAATTAATATAGTTTTAATAATAAAATTAATTACCTTCTTAAATTTTGAACTTATGTTTGAATGAGACAAACATTTATTTAAGTATTTTATTGCTTCTAATTTTATTTCAGAGTCCGTAGTGCTATAATAAATAAATATAATACATTATAAAAAGAAAAAATAACATACTAATTTATCAATAGTGATAAATTCTTTAAATTGATAACGTTCTTGTCTATTTCTCCGTCAATATTTCTATATATTAATAAAAAGATAAATATTATTTAAAGTTAGTCAATTAATTACAAAATAATAGACTATATCTTACTTTTCAATTAAATGATCCAATTTTCTAGTCAACATAACAATATAGGTCAATGTGCCTTCATTAATAGTTTTTATTTTCTCTAGAAGCTGTTTTTTAAATAGAAAAAGAGTGAAATTAATTGAAAAAACTGTAGGTGAGATATAAAAAAAAACAACACAAAACACGGATTTGATAGAAGTATTTACCATCGAGAATAGTTCTTCCCTTACTTTACACCAAACGATCAAATCACTTTCAACCACCGCGTTTAACAAATTGAAAACTTCATTGAAATATTCATGGCTGCATTTGTTTTAATGAATATTTATGCTTAATATTAAAAAGGTTAATAGTCTTTTTTTTATTTACTTGGAATTATTAATTATCCAATTTTGAGTTTTATCGAATCCTTCGTTTCGTAGAAAATATTGAAGGTAAACTTCTTGTTTAATTAATTGAATAAATTGTCTTATGTCATGTTTATGCTATAATTAATAGAAAATAATTGTTAATTAGTTAATATATTTCTATTATTAGACTTAAAAAGATGTTTATAATTGGGTTTTTTTTTACCCTGTCAGTGATGGCCTCATTAAGTAATTTTAATATTTTTTCGCCATATTGAATCTTTAAAAAAATATAAACAAAAAAGTTTGCAATTAATTTCTCATTTAATTAAAAAAAAAGCAATTAAAAAATTAATAAAGAAGAACTTACATGATTCGGAAAAATTGTTATAAAATTTCCATTTTGGACATCTTTTATGTTCTTTAAATGGAATGGAACATTATAAACAAAATGGTATTGTTTTAGATTTTTTTTTCTAATACCTCACTATCCAGAATAATCCCTTTTTCTGCATCATTATCACTTGCTATTACTAATGTATAATTTTCATAGTCGTGCAGGTTAAATCTAATATAAATCGTTATTTAATGTAAATATTAGCGAACCATTTAATTTTTAATTAAAAAGTTTACAGTTTACAAGCTTCTCTTTTCACCTCTTCCAAATCGTCGCCCTGTTATTGATAAATTACGAAGAATTTATAGCTAATATAATAGGATTTCTAATATTTCATGCGTAATTAAACTTACAGATTGGAATTTTAATAATTGTTTACTTGTATCATAGTTTACACCAACCCATATCATGTTGTAAACAATATAATATCGCTCAGTGAAAAAGTAAAAGTTTCCTAACTAGATTTTTGTACAAGAGTGGTAATACAGAAAATTAAACAGATTATCAATACATACAAATGTCTATATAACTTATTAAACACTTAGTTATAGATAAAAGGTTGCGGAAGTTATTAGCAGAATAAACAGTGTCCTGCCATTTTTGACACTCTTTTAGTATTGTTCCCGTTAGATGGCAGTATTAAGAACGATGACTAAAATAGTTATATAGAAGAGATTGTCCACGTGTATGACAATAACAGAGAGATTCGGAACCAATGAAAAATGGTCAATGTAGAACCAAGCTTTAAGGTTGAGTGAGAGAAAAGAAGAGACAGATAGATAACATTTAAATAAATCATAAATTAGTTAATCTTAGAATGTAATGAAATTTCTATATCTTTTAAGGCATTAACTCAGATTCGTTTAATTGAATCTATAAAAATTATCAAATTTAAACAGTCTCTTCAGTATTCATTCGGCTTCTTCGAAGAATATAATCATACCCAGCTTTTTCCTAGAACAAGGGCGTAAACAGAAAATTAATAGGAAAAGAAAACAGTAAAGTTTACCATCATTCATATTCGATTAATTAAAATATTTAACTAGTAAAAAAACTAAATGAAATTTTTCAATTTAATAATATTATAAAACTGTAGGTTAAATTTCCCTCGATCCCCTTGACCTAATGAATTTTAGTCGGAGAAGATTATATCAAAATATACAATATATTCAGTATATTAATATATTATGAAGAAGTATATAAGCGCTAAAAATAACAGTACCTGTATACTTTCATTTATCTGCTATTGACGAAACGGAAAGGGAAAAGAATAGAAGACGGAAGAAAGACGGATTTCCTCAACCAACAAAGAAAAGACAACTTATAAGAACTTCGATTTATGAAATTGTTAATAAAAAAATATAAGTGTGAACAAAAATTTATGTCTACTGGGTAACAGACGTAACAAGCATAGATTTCCCTCTCGCGATGCCATATTAACGTCAAACCAAGGTCTTTGGGAAAACTTACAACACATATGATTATAGTTTATACTTTTGATTATAATATTTAGGTAAAAGGCGTAAAGAAAGGTAAGAGAAGAAAAAGAAATCTATTATTCTAAACCATGACGTCATTTTTACGGGTTAGGAATAAATGTTTTAATAATTGTTGATTGTTTTTTTTATCTAACTTCCAAAATCATTTTCTTGACCTGCATTTCGTTCAACAATATTGCATAATCATTATTAACGGAATTCTCTCTTCTTCTTCGTTTTTTGCTGTTGCAGCATTATGAATAATTTAGATGTTCAAATAGCAACGAATAGTTACATTGAAACTAATTACTCGGAGAGACCAGTAGTAGTAGCTCAAATTCTTTGTCAGAGTTCCTTTTTCAATCTTTAATTTTGCACAATTTTCCTAAATAAACGCTAATATGCATTGTGCATGCAATTAACGACGGAAAGATAGCGTTACGACAAGAGAAGAATATAGATTCTAAAGAGTCGTTTTGACATTTTGATAATGACTTAATAGTAGTATATATTTCCTTCTTCTTTCCTAAGGCATATTAACAGATATCTATAAGAAATATTTGTTTAAAATTTAAAACAAATTCTTTTCATACAAATTTCCTATCAAAATCTGAAATCAATCAAGTTAGTTTACTTGTTTATAATTGTGTTAATTTTGAACTAGTTTACAGACTCTCCGGAAAGTTTTTAAAAGAGTCACTGGCTTTTAATCTCTTAATAGTGAATGGTTGTTTTGTGCCTAATAGCTAAAGGGAGTCGCCGTTTGATCCCAAATTACCAATGAGTTTTAAATTGTTAATTTCAAATGATACTGTGAAGCTGGTTAGTTGATCAATATACCGTTTCATCTTTCTCATTGTCGCTTCAGATCGATTTTGTCTATTTTACAAGTTTCGCATAAAAAAAGCGAAAGAAAAAAATAGATGATTTATTTTTAATCTTTTTCCATTGATGCTATTGTAATTGGTTTTGATCACAATATAGTATTTAATGGGGTTTTTTTGTAAATAAAAAAAACACCAAACAATTGTGAAGAAATAATAATTAATAATACAAGTTTGTAGTTTTTATGTGCGATTTTTGCACAAATAAAAGTTCTGCTATGATAAATATAAATCAATTTTGAGCCTATTAGTTTGTTAAATAAGACTTTCAATCATTTATGAGTAGCATTAGCCACATCATTATATACTATCCTAAGGCCTCTTCTGAGAAAAAAGCCAAGAATTTATTGATTCAATAGAAATTACTATCATATGTTGAATTCTTTAATTTATTTTTTTTATTAATTTTTATAAAATTTAAAGAAACTAAGAATTTATACCTAAAATTTTAACATGAAACAACCTGGTGATTGTTAATTTAACAAATCTCGTAAAGCCGGTACCAAATCACTTTTATGCTCTTTTAATTTTCTCTCAGCGAGCTGGCGCGAAATTTCCATTTCATTCATCTAAAAAAGCAAAATATAAATGAGAATAGAAAATATTATCTGCTGGCACGATTCAAAACTAATTGTAACTTTAATATCTATTGAAGTTGACCAGTATAAACCTATATATATAGGATTGAAGACCTTGGAGTTTAACTTACTATTAATTCGACGTCTTCCTTATTAACTTTGACTCGAGCTAATTCCTTTTCTCGGAGTAATTTCTCTTCATTCACTTTTCGTTGCTTTTCAGCCACAATTTTCATAGCCTAAATTTGATTTATCCGGTTGAGCGATAAATGAGATCTTAATTTAAAAACATAATTACGTCTTGTATGCTTTGAGGAGAGATTTCCTTTTCTTCCTCAAAGTCCGTAACCTTCTCGAGATCAGCCGTACCAGAATCATGCTTTTTCCCTTTATTTTCATTATCTTTTTCAACGTTTTTATCTTCGTCCGCCATGATTTTTTTGTGTAGCTATGAAGAGTTGATCACGCTTTTACAGCTAATATAAACTGGTTCTCGTTCCGTGAAGCATAAGGAAGTTAACTTTGCGAAATAAGCAAGTACCTGGAAAAAAAGATTATATATCACTTTTCAACTATAAAACAACGAAATATAACTTTAGTCAACGAAATTTGATCAAGGTGAAACTAGATAAAATATTTTTTATTAATATTCGCACCTTTTCCCCCTAATATCTGATTGGTTGAAAGATAAGCCTATCATAGGTGGCGTTTCGATGCCTAACCATCGGAGACAACGGTCTTGAAGAGACTGAAGACAACAAGTGATTTAGACGACAACTTCATGAGAACCTCTTTAATGTCAAGATTTTCGAGGAAAGTCATAGCTAGTATAGAAACATATTGCCTGGAAAATTTAGTAAGTCAATTCATTTTCTAATGGAAACCCAACTGGAAAGCAATATGCCCCTTTAAACAGAACTAAGAAAATGAATTCTACGAATATAACAAATAGAGATCTTAATTCTCTCGAGCTAGCAGCAAAGCAAGCTACTCTTTGGATTTATTCTATTGCCTTCTTTGTTGGTACGATAGGAAATACATTGACTATTATAGTTATCGTAAAAAGTAAAAAGCTTAGAACTGTTGCTACTACTTTCATCTTGAATTTGGCTATTGCCGATAACTTTTTTCTTCTATGCGTTCCCTTAATGATTTATAGTTCCTACTACGATACTTGGCCGTTTGGAAAGGTTGTTTGTCATCTGATGTACTGCTCGTATACAGTAAATTTGTTCGCTTCAACTTATACTATGGTTCTAATGTCTGTTGATCGATACCTGGCTATTGTTCAGCCCTTTGAATCACGCAGGTAAAACGTAACCTTTTACAAACCGTTTTCTACAATGAAAATTTGTTTTTGTATATTTGCAGTTACCGATCGGTTAAAAATGCAGTTCGGACTTGTTTTTGTGTATGGATTATTAGTGCTGTTATTTCTATACCCGAAACTGTTTTTACTACGATTTATAGTGCAGATGCCTCCGGAAAATGCCACGAAAAGAAGAATACAAAGCTTTTTCATATAATATTAGTGAACTTTGTGATCGGCTTTCTCTTGCCTTTGCTAGTTATGATAGTGTGTTATCTCCAGCTAATCAGGCACCTACGACGAAGAGACGAACCGCTGCCACCTGAACAGACTAAGCGAACATTGAAAAAAGTTACAATTATGGTTTTTATTGTAACGGTTGTGTTTCTAGTCTGCTGGGCTCCTTATTATTCATACAAAATTAGTATTACCTATTACAGCCTTTCTCCAAGAAGAAGTCCAAGTATTTCTTTCCTCTGCTTCATTCTGCTGGAGGTTCTCACTCAAGCTCTCGTTTACTTTTCCAGTTGTGCCAATCCTTTCATCTACGCCATTTCCAGCAAAAATTTTAGTAAGTACCATCCGTTTTGGAACTCCAATAGATCACAGATAACGAAATTTCTTCCTTTTTTTCTATTATTTATCCTCTCCGCTACATCAGTCAACAATAATCTAATAGTCATAGAAATATATATCAAAAGATGAATAAGAATATTATACTGATTCTAGAACCGCCGAGGTTTAGTTTGAGTAAAGATTTCTTTTATTAATTACAGTATTCAACATTTAAGGAACTATTGTTTAACAAAACGTCGATAGCGTGTTGTTATGATTTGTCTACTTTATATTTTGTAAAATTAAACAGAGGGTTGACCAATAAGAAACATGACATTCTCTTAGAAATGATAACCTTTAAGTAATATTAGGGATTTGTAAACCATCTATTTAGTATAATAAAATATATAAATTTTCTATATTCTCTTTTAACTTAAAAGACTTTGTCTAAAACTATAAACATTTGATCAAATCCTCTTTTTTTCTTCATCTTCAAATAGGGCGGCATTATCTGGGTGCAATTTGCAAGTGCTGCTTTTCGACCAAGATGACTAGACCTGAGAACGGAGGTAAAAACACATCTTGTACGTACAAACTTCGTGAACATCAGTTAAAGTTATTCAAAAGGTCAGTCGCGCCCTTAAAAAAGAGTAAACATTTTTTGCTGATAACCTATGCAATTACAATTGCAGCATCAAAAACTTGTAGTAGGCGTCACAAAAAATACGAAGTAAATATACCTAATAATATATATAGCGTATATATTCAGTAGATATATATATATAATGCATACAATATCTGTATTAAGCAAAAAAGAAATCAATTTATTTATATGTATATTTTCATGGAATTGTTTCAGTGTCGCAGGGAGGACAAATTCTCGTCGGCCTAAATGGTTCAATTCCTCTAGTTCAGCTAGGTAAGAGGCTTTAAGCTAATAAATTTTAACAGCTTTCCATCCATTTAGATTATTTTGGTTAATAAAAAAAAATATCAATTAGATTATTATTAGTATTTTATTTATTTCTGCTTTAATCGAAAATAAAAAAAATGCTTTTTAATATATAAAGAAATAAAAATATATATGTATATATATTTATATATTTGTATAGGAAAACGAAGCGTCACTTTAACAACTACCCCCAGAAGACGCCGTTACCCAGCCGCTTTTAATCCAGCCAAACTCGATCGAACTTGTCGTATTTACTCAAGTATGTAGAGTACATAAAATCTAAGTTTTTAATCGAATAGGTAAAAAGAGAAATATAAAATTTCTTTTCTTTTTCTCACAGATTGCATATATCAATTAAGCTCGTCCAGCGCGTCAGGATCGTGGAAAGGAACAAATTAATATTTGAATTGACTCTTTTGTACGCTTATAATTTATATTGAAGCTTTCGTATATAACAATATATACTGGGCCTGTTTGGTAAAGACTTTGACATCACAGTTTGGCAGGCAAAATTGTAAATTATTCAAAGTGTGTAGAGTTTAACTATCACAACCTCTTTCTTTGCATAGAGCCAATTGAAGTGAACCTAAATCTTTAAGCAATATCATATTTTCAATATCTCTTGTAATTGAGCTATCGGTCAAGAGGGGGTAGATTTGCAGACAGTCTCTCCACCTGTCGCTTCAATGTAGGAACGCATTTCAGGCGTTAAATGCCTTGCATAGACTTTTCCTTCCCTCCTCTTGAAGCTGTTTGATATAAGCATCGCATCACTTAAAAGATAAAGTACTCAACCAAATGATTTTCAAGTTTGAAGAATAATAGATAAATACATATAAATGTAAAATAGATTATCCGGTAAGGAAATAAAAACTTACCAATTAAGTTGTATATTACTATAGCCTGATGAAAAAAATGAGTATTTAATTATAGATATGCTGTGACACTGATGAATTTGATCTGCCTACCACTTTTCTTTCTTATTGTTTGCCTTCGCAGGGTCTCTGCCTCGTTTCCGTTACCCTCAACCAAGGGAATACTTGAAACGTTGGAGGCACAAATATATTGCAGAAGGAGAAGCATGAAAGTATAACAATAAACATATTCAACCTGAGAGTTAAACGATTGATTAGCTGTCGAATCGAACAAATGAATTTACACAACGTACAATATTCTCGACCAATTGCGGTCGATTTGTCTTGACATTTTTTACTGCATAGAACACATCAACCTCTCCTTCGGCTTTCAATTTATCGTAGCAAATGCTCAAAGAACAAAAAATTCCGCATCTACTTACTCCATTTCTGTGGGGAAAACAGTGTAATAATAAATTGAAATCAGTCTAATGTACTTTACAGTATAATTAAATCATTAGTAAATTCTATGTGTAATTGAAATTGTCTGCTCACTTGGACATAACACATACTGGTAGGCGACTTTCATATTGATACTTGCAGATGTCATCGAGTAGTTCTATAATGGCTGTGGGTACTTGAGGAAGTATGTGAGAGTCCGGCCAGCATTTTACTTGGACCGTTTTAACAGTTTTGATTGTATCCTCTTGCGAAGAAGCCATTGTTTGCAGCGAGACCAGAGTCTATTTCAAAGAATTACTCTTAAAAAGCTTAAAATGGTTAATTAAGCAAGTTGGTTTCATTTCTATTATAAAGAAAGAGTAGCATGCATTTAAAAGTGATAAATATTCATGAATATAGTTTAAAAAAGGATTTTAATTAAAGACAGAGAGAGAGAGATAGAGAGAGGGAGAGAGAGAAAGAGAGACAAAGAGAGAGAGAGAGATAGATGCTACAATAGAAAAAAAAGATATATATATATACAGTATACTGTATATAATCTAAAGATAATAAAGTAGATAAATAGATGCATAGACAGATAGAAAGAGAGAGAGAGAGAGAGAGAGTTGTGTAGAGAATTGATGAAAACTAGAAAAACGAAAATAGAAGAAGAAAGAAAAAAGTTAATGCATTGTATAATAAAAAAATACATAAATTATGGTTCGCACGCCTTTTTCCATGTATTGTTCTATTATACCAAGTTATATGTTTATATATGTAATGAAATAGTTCAATAAAGGGATAGATGGAATAGGATAAAGGAAAAGTAAACGTGCATTAAAATGTGCATTTTATTCTTCTCTTACTATTTTTCAGTGTATACAAGTGCATGTATATACAGCATAGTATCATACATATAACATTTTGCAATGTCAGAGAATGTATAATATAAGTAAATTATACATGAAGGCATATTTGTATAGTTATATATTCCAATCTAATTGGTGCATATACTCTATAAAAATTCCACCTGTACAACTGTTAATTTTCACTATGATGGTCCCTTACATAGTTTTAGAAAAAAGTAAATACTTCATTTGTAATACGAATATAAAAATTGATTATTTTCGTAGCAAGAGCAATTACTAAGAAGAGACTCTTTCTAGAAAGGAAAAGAAAAACTCATAGTTTTACATCTTTTAAAAGCTCTATCGATGGTGCGTATAGCTTTGAAAAATTCCTTTTCCGTGTAAAAGAGAAAAAACAAGATTGGCCTGTCGTAGAATAACAACATTGATTTTCTTTCCTTCAAACTCCTATATAATTATAGATGTAGAATATCTCTTCTCTATCTTATTTTACATATTTCTATTATTGAAGTAACAACTGAGCGTTATATTGAAAGCTGTATATTATACTATAAGAAGAAATATTAAAATTATTAATCTAATTGATTTTTTCTTTTATTTCCTCTCTCTCTACTTTTATATTCCTTCCATTTTCTCGTTATCGTCCTACAGTGTATTGGACAAGAGGAATTAAAGACTCAATAAAGCGGTCACACTGACAAATCCACAATATTTACAATACAAACTTAATAAATAGACGCCTAATTCATCAAGTCAAATACAGAAATCTTTCGTCTTAAGAGATGAATCTATTTAAATACTTTTAAAAGCTATATTTTGTATATACTGTATATAATGTACTGTATACCTGCATACACTTTTTTTGATTGATGCTACTAGAATTCAACTAAAAAATTATGCCAAATAAATCTAGTTTTCCCATATACCTTATGCGTATATATTAAGACAATATAATTAAAGAAGCATTATCTAGATATTATTATTAAATACCGTTAATTCCCCAGCTTCTAACAACTGTGTATTAACGTCAGTGTATTTCCAACGCTGTTTTTTAGAAAATAGTCAATATATTTTCAAATTTAAATTTAAATATTCTGTCCTAACTATTATTATTTTCATGCCAAAAATATATATATATATATATATATTGAGTGTAAACAATAATACTCATTTATGCATAATATTAAATGTGTGTCAGGTATGTTTCTTTCGGCATGCATATATTAAAATAAAACGAAAAAAAAAAAGAAAAGAAAAAGAAAACATCTAAACTCTTTACTTTATTTTTTTTTTTGAAGAAGAAGAAGAAAAAAAAAACAAAGCAAATTGGGAATTAAGCAGAAAAATAATAGCAGAACAATATTTTCTTTGGGGGATCAATTGCAAAATAAAAAAAAAACTTTTTTAAAAATCCTCTTATTTATGTATTTTTTGTTACATGCTTAATAGTGTGTATACATTTATTTATTTATACATATATATATATATATATATATATATATATATATAAATATAAACAAATACATACTTAATATATAGATAATATTTAAATATATATTATATGTATTTAGGTATATTTATACATTTTTATATATACATAGAAAATGCACCAAATACGTTAAATACTTTTTTGTTTTTCCTTTCCTCGCACTCATGTTTGATTTCCATTGCTCGAATATAATCGTCGGCGAGATTGTCGTATTTTTTCAACTGTATTAAAGTATATAGGAAAACAATGTCACGGAAATTCTTTATCTTTGTATAGAGTATAGTTTTTTTTTTTTTTTTTTTTGATTTTACTTATAGTATTAGTTCTATTCTGTGTGATAGAGTTGAAGGACAAATACTGAAGGTGAAGGTTTTTCTTTATTTTTTATGTGGAAAAAAAAACAATGACATCTCCATTAGACGTCTAAATGTTGCGGGGGGAATATTAGTGTACATATACAGTTTATATATATATATATACTGTACATGTATATCATCTCGTACCGGAAAAAAAATAACAGACCTTAAAAAACCTCTGTAAGTTTCTTCTTGCCTAACCATTTCATCATTATTTTTGTTATAAATTACAGTTATCAATTCTTGTTTAAATTAATATAATTAAATAAATAATAGCAATAAAAAAAAAAAGGAAAAAAAATATATTTTGTTTTTTTTTTTTCCTTTTTTTTTGTTCGTTTTCGTATTTCTTTACCTTTTTTATTTTAAATAATCTGACGATTAGGTGAGTAGTTTTACTTTCTTCCGTCATTCTTACGATTAACGGCCCGTAGACTATATCGACGTCTTTCTCTTTTGGCCAGAATCTTGGATAGCTCTAATTGTACAAAATTGGAAATTGGGTTAGTTGTTATGATTAGAGGGAAAAAAAGGTAAAAAAAATGATATTCGAGTGCATAAAAAAGGTTTTTTGAGAGTACTACCCTGCTGAAGGCAGGATCGTTGAGAAGGAGCAATAGGGGAATGTTATAGTCGTAGATAAGCCGCCAGATGTCGTTGCAAGTACTTTTCAAAGGCCACTGAGTAACAATAAAAGAATTCTGGCGGCGATAGCCCTAATTGAAAAACATGTAAAGAGAAAGAGAAAGGAAAAAGAAGATGAAAAAGAAATAAGTATGCTAAATAATACTAAAAAAAAATAGAAGACTTAAGAACTAACGTCGACGTAAACTGCATTAATATAATCTGTACTCTCATTCGTGTCTTGGGTGATCAAATACGGACGAGATCTTTCAGCTGTTTATTGTTATAGTTAGTAGGCATGAGAAGAAATCGAAAACTAATTGATTCGCTTACGAGGTTGAATCATGATATCTCTACTCTTTCTTCTGTTCTCTGCTCGATGACCCCCGGCGCACTCGCCTACGCTCAAATCCGTAACGACTTTTCTTAACGCAGAGAATTCATTTTCAAACTCTTCCTCTTCCGCCATCTTCTGGACTGCTGTCGCTAGGGCAGGAGCCGCAATTGTCGTGCTCCCACACTGTAATGCCATAGATACGGCTTCGTAAATCAGTTCATAATGTTGCTGTGTGAGAATACATCATTTATTATCGAAAAGGTTTACCGCGGAAACCGTTATTCATAATAATACCATAAGACGAAAAAAATTCTGCCTGCAGGTCATTAGGAAGCGAATATAGTTGAAAATGTCTATTTTACCATCTATAGACGCTCTTCGTAGAATAGCATCTATTGCTAGAAAAGTAGCTGTTCTTCCTCCCCCCGAACCACAATGGACAAGTAAAGGCCCGTCTTGCAAGTCGTATGAGGCCCGTATTCTCCTTCGGAATTCCAATAGGGACGAAACGTTTGGTTTATCTGATTCAGCCCAATTAGAATATTGGAACTGTTTAACATATCGTTTTTTTCCGGTTCTAACATCCTTAATGTGAAATAGTCTAACGGTAAAATTTGAAAGAACATCGGTAGAGGTTAACCACACTTCGATTTGTCCGAAGATTGCGTGTTCGTTGTGCCAATATTTTTCACATTGTTGCTGTTATATTTATAAATAGAATTTAATATATTTTGTCAATTCTGCGGAGAATCTAATAAGTTGTATATACGTTATAATATAAATATATTGTATATATATACTGTTATGTTTGTATGCAGAGTATACAATATCTATATTTTATGTTTATTCTATTATACCCTAGCGTGCTCGAAGATATCGGTCGTCATAGCGATTACAGAAACGTTCTCTTGCCAAATCATCTCCCAAAAATCATTTAAGCTGTATTTAGTCGGACCAGCCGCGGCTATATACGCTTTGTTCCGTTTGAAGGCCTATGGACGTTTGTTAAAAGATGTAAACGAATTGAGAAAGGGACCTCCAACTTACATCTACGAAAGACGCGTTTATGTAAGTTGATCCAACGTCGTCTTGAATTGCCGAAGTCAATTTCACCCTACAATGATCGCCTAGAAAAAGAGACTTTGTTATTAATAAACACTTTATTTTGGTGAAATTTTTAATTTGTACGTACATGGAAGAACGTCTGGAGAATTATTTTTTAGCCGATTTACTTTTAAAAGAGCAACTTGCGTTGATCGCTCCTCTCGCATTCTGTGCAACGCCTGTATTTAACATGTAGGCCTATTAGAAAAAGGAAATGAATTGCGGCGTTCAACTGGTTAAATATAGCAAGCACTTCAATTAATTTTCCTAACACCCTTCATCATTCTACAATCTAAATGATCTGTAAATTCTAAAGAATATCTTTTATATTTATATACCATACAGTGGGATAGTCCATCGACTTTAGACGGCCGTGTTTATAAGATCAATCATATACTAGTCGGATTATTGCTTTTGCCTTTCTTTTATAACCTATACTCGCCTTAAATTCTACTTCTATGATTCCTTTCTTCTTTTTTCTTCGGTACGACTCCAAAAAGTTCCCAACTGTATCAGCATCGTGATTTACCCTCTCCACAACGATTTCTTCCTTTTCTGTTGAAGAAGGAACGTAGGAGGTGTAGATTTGACGTACTCGAGCCACTTGGCAACAGAACATCACAAATAATTATCCTCTATAACTATCAAGCAGTCTATTATATGTGGGAGTAGTTGAGTGAGCTTCCAGAAAGACGACGAGAAATGGCGTCAACGAAACGCCAGGTGGAGCCTTACTTCGTTTAATATTTATTTAAAGGAACGAATTTGAGAAAAAATCGGCTCTCTCCTCAGAGATATTAAACAAATGAAGGCACACACCCTCTTGCCTATGAAAAGTGCAGTGTTGAGAGCAACAACAGCAATCGAAAGCAGTGTGACTGATCAATGACGAATGATATACGAAATCGCCTATTTTATCGCATTGTTGCGAATATATATAGAAAAAATGTAAAATTATGTAGGCGTCGTTCTGACATTCTCTTTATCGAGAGAGACCTTGATTAAACGCTGTAAGAATCCAACATACAAAACTAAACTATGTTATTATAATAAACTTACGTGTACTAAATTATTCATTTTATGGTTACATTACTCTATGTAGATTACGAATTTAATAATAAATGTTTGTAAACATAACTTGAAAAATTAATTTAATGTATAAATGTATATATGTTTATATATTTATATATATTATATATATATATAAGTTCATATATATATATATATATACTGTATATACTATATATAATTTATAAACATACCAATATAAATATATATTTATATAGTATATACTTTTGTACCATATATATATATATATAAACCAAAATATATAAGATTCGATTTTCCATATTTTCTCTATTGATAGATAGAAGAGACGCTTGGACAGGGATTTTTATAGGTCGACGCCCTGATAAATCGATCGATCGAAAACAGTTCAGTCCATCCAAACAGAGCGCGTGTAGGGACTAAAGAATTAAAGCAAACGTCCGGAGTATAGGCCTCTTGCGTTTGCTCTTTCCTACTCGTTTAATAAAGGCGCCATCTATTGCTTACTTACTTTTCCTTTTAACCTCCTCCCTGGCTTTTCCCTTTCTCCTAGCTTGAGGAGAGTTACTTAATTTTCTGTAAAAAAAATTTCATTCATATAGCTCCAAGATATAAAATCAACAAGAAAAAAAGCAATTTTTTCTTCTTCTCCTGTTTTTTTCTGTCTTATAAAGAAAAGTAACCTTAAATACTGTAGAGTAACCAGGACAAAAACGATTGATGAAAATGCACAGCAAATTATCAGCCATTCTTTTCCTTCGGACTGTCTTAAATTATTCTTTTCAGAATTGGATGTTAGATTCGTTGAATTTAATCTCATAGTCACCTGAATAAAACAAAAGCGTTACCTCTTCATTTCCATAGCAACAATATCAACGGATATGTATGGGATAAGGAAAGTAAGCCAGTCGTCGTTTACACAGTTGATGGTGAATATTTTAAGAAAAAGCACTTTCTATCGCCAACCTCTCAAGTATATTATTGGAAAATTGTTACTCGCTATTGTGCGTGGAACAAGAATATTCAAAAGCTGATTAGCCGGCTAAAATGCTCACATTTATGTACGTACAACACTACATATATATTAGTATATTGATATATTAATATATATATGTTAGCTTAGCTAGACACTTATACAAAATATAATTTACTTTTGCACCAGCCAAAAAACTTATTAACTCATCTAAATTACAGATAACCTAAATATTAGCCGTATTTTGCATAAATATGAAAAAAAACTGGGGTAATATTATCAGAAATGAAGAATGGGTTTTTTTTTTTATTACTAGACAAAATCTATTGTTTCTGCCTCTTTTCTTTTCCTTCCCTTTCCCCATCATAGTTTGGAAGATCGAATGATATTTCTTTTTACTATGATTATCATATGATTGATAATATACTTACTACTTTCTTCTACTTCTCCTTCTCCTTCTTCTTCTTCTACTTCTTCTTCTTCTTTTTTCTCAAATAAATTCCTGCAACTGAGATATTTCCATGTTGTAAAAGTTAATGATGCAAGAGAAATTCGTCGCCTGGCAGAAAGCTTGTAAATGATTGAAGAAACTAGATAAGCTAGACAGTCAAACACTTACCAATAGTGGAAAAAAATTTGGCTGTAAATTTTAAGGCAAATAACAAAATCTTTACCAATATACGTTTATATTCGACATTCTCGTTCGTAATTTAGAAGGAGAATGCGCTTGAGACAGCTCCCAGCAAAAAAAAATTCCCGTTCGGAGAAAAATTTTTCCCGCTCTTTCTTCTTGTTATCTCTCACTAACGCCATCTATTAATTCTTGTTTTAAACAATAGAATAAAAAATGCATCTATTCATTAAAATTGTATTAAAAAAGTTGAATCAAGTTCAATGAAAGTAAAAGAATTATTTTATAATGAAATAAACTATTAATTATTTTGAGCGCCCACACACTTTTAAATTTTGTAGTTGTTTAGCTGCTAGGCCTACGTCCGTTACTCGGTAACCATCATAACAAATACCATAAATACCGTTCCAGTCTCTTTGCCATTCTTTGATTTGCCTTTGAGATCTCGGGATCGTTCCAGATTCTACCTTTAAATTCTCATTTCCTAACTACTGATTTAAGATATAATGGGTTGTGGAGCTAGTAAACGCCAAGTTCAACCGGTTGATGATAATAAAAAGCCACCCACCGATTCTAAAAAACTGTTGAAAAAGAGAAAGAGTAAAAGGATTGATGTTCAAGTTGCACCCAATAGGGATAGCGAGGGAGAAGATGCTGGAATAGAATTACCATCTATTAAGTCTGATAGAGCAAACTCAGGTGTATCTCGTTACGGATCAAGTAAATCTCGAACGTCTTCTGTTTTGAGAAGTAGTAAATTGTTTGGATCAAGAGACTCTTTAGGATTAGATTCAAGAAATGGATCTGCTACATCAAAAGTATCGAAGCATAGCTGTGATTCCGGTTTTGATGATCCTGAATATGCAAAAGTGATTACAGAGGAATCAAATGAAAATGAAGTAAATAGAGTTGAAAATGATTTTAAGACTCCTAGAGATATGTCAGATTTCTCTCTTAGCGGGGTATCATACGCTAGGATTTCAAGTGCTACAAAGAAAATCAGGAAAGAAGAACGGGATATCCTCGCTAACCTTCAGAATGAAGGTCTTATTCAAAGACCGGTATCAAGAGCTGCCGGTGGATTTTCATTTGAAATTGTGTCAGATGAGCAAGCTATGGGATTAAATGTAAGAAAACCACCCGCAAGGCTAATGAAATTAGAAAAGAGAAAAAAGAAAAAGAGAGAATTGACTGAGGATGATATCAAAGCTAAATTGGAAAAAGCTGAACTTCGCCGAAAGGTAAGATAGAACGACACATATAATTTATATAATTATTACTTATCGATTATGTTTTTTCTTTCTTTCTCCTATTCAGAAAAACGAACAGGAAAGAGTAGAAAAAGCTCAGAAAAGTTCCATACAGGATGCCTTGGATAAATTCGCGGATATGCAAAAGTCGAAAGAAAATGAATTTTTATGTAAGGAAGAAATAGCTAATGAAAAGAAAAACGAACGTTTGAAAGAGATGCGCGAACGTCTGCGCGCAAAGGAAAGACACGCTGAAGAAGTTAGACAAAGGAAAAAACTTAATAAACTACGAGCATCTCAAGAGAATTTCGAAAGTTCTGAAATATCGAATGAAAATGAAAATCTTTTATAATCATCATCATTAGTGATTTGATTTAATTGAAGCTTTAAACAGATTTTGCTTTTTGCTGTAGTAGAAAAGTATTACTATTTGCTGTGTTCCATAGAACATACTTGAATTGCGTCCAATAATTACCAGTATTATTTGTTAGTATTCATTTCATGCAGTCAAGTTCAATATCATACGCCCAATAATGCAATACAATATTAATGTGAAATGATACGCCATCTACTGCGTAAACTTGTCATTATTCGGTTATCTATCAAAACTTGCACTAAGAAAAGTGCATTTCCAATACCATGACTTCTCCTAATCATAAACATTCCATCAAACGTTAATGGCTGATTGTTCCTATTGTAAAAGCATAGTAATTTATCTACTATAGGTTAGTTTTAAAAACCCCTATTGGTTTATGGCTATGATTCTCTATCAAATAAATCGATTGTAAATAAAGACTGTATTATAAAATTTTTTTGATATATTCCCTTATGGTGGACAAAGGAAACAAATGACGATGAAGCCAGCTGCTGTCTGATACTTATGATCAGAGTAAAAATTATATCGATCTTCCTTCTCAGTTGGAATTTATTAAAGTCTTTCTTACGTTCATTCAAAGTTCACGTGCACTCCTGTACACCTTTGTTAAATATCTCTCATTTAACTAAACTATTGAAAATGTTGTGAATAATTATACAACAACCAAGCCCTTATTTCCTGTCGAACTTCAATGCGGTGCGTGTAAATAAGTTTATCGCAGGAAGCGAAATATCAACTTTCATTCATATAAATTCTCTTCCACCCCCACTTCCCAGTATATTGTACAACTTCCATACACATATCCACAATACAAAAAAATAGAGAATGTCAAAATAGAAAGTAAGAATTAACAAAAGGTGTTAAGTCTGTTCAATAGAAATCCTTTAACTGACCTCTGTTTATACTATTATTTTCTCAAGTTTACAATCTTTTCCGCAGACCTTCAATTACAAATGACCCTTCAAGTTTTCTTGTTCGGATAGGTTGCAGTTATTAGCTTATAGTGAATTACTCAGTAGGTGATTTCAACACCGGATACACGGTCGGTATGTCAAAGGAATTTTTCTTACCCTTCAAGTTCAGACTAGTCAAATTCCTTTATAATACATCTCCTACATTATATCAAGAAGGTAGCCATAGAATGTTTGTCTAAACATTCTACATTCTCTAACCCATTTTCCACAAGTTGTATGATTTAGGCCTATATCAATAGTAGCCACCCACACTCGTCATCTCTTCAAAATGAAACATATGTTCAATTTACAGAATTAAGTGTGTATATAATTCATACCGCTTATCAAAAAATTCAAACTTGTCCCGCTATATCTACCGTTTAAAAATTGATAAGAAGCACTTTTTTCTATTTTTATCTCCAGATGAAAAGGATAGTTTGTTGCAATTTAACTGCTACTTTCTATGTATATAAACTTTTACAATGTTAAGGAATCGATATTAAAAGAGTTATATAAAGATGTTTCAGGCGTCTATCTATTTTCGACTTTTATTAAAAAGAATAAGATAATCGATGAAGAACATACTCTCATGAAATCACGCGGTCATGACCCTACTCTTAGCCTCAAGTTGAACCATATAATAAAGGTTTTTCGTTTGTTCAGGTGTGCGAATACATATGTTTATATCGAATTTTCTTACTCGTGCATGTTCATATAATACAGCATATCTTATTTTATGAACAGTTATCAAGTTCGAAACGTTTATTATATAATCTAGATTGTAACATTAAGTACACAAACCCAACACTAGATAGTGTAGAGTACAATATGAGTCTGTGAAACTACTCATATTAATCAGTATGTATATACAAATATATATAATCCCGAGTATATAAATATAGTTAAACATAAATATATAAATTTCGCGAATATGTGCAAGCTTTGTATTCACCTATAAAGACAGACTAATGATGTAACGAATGTTATATACTCGTCTATTGTACTATGTCGGAGAAGCGTATACGCCTTTAGCGTTATACCCCACTAACCTGGTGAATTTCAAGATTAACCCAGACAAACAAACGACCTTCATCGCAGATGTCAGCTGTTGCATCCGCAATGACAGATTCATGAGGGTACCAGGACTTTCATGAAACGACAATTTTATGTCGTAGTAGGTGCTTTTGTTTCGGTGTCAATGACCGCTGGCTGAAGTTTGAACGCAGGCACCTGCCTGAGCACTAAAAAAAGGGTGAAGGACACAAGAGCAAAAGCTAAAGTTATAGAAGTCAGAGTCAGGATTAGTCAAAGAAAAATTTTTTTCAAAGTAGGGCAAATCTTGCCCTATATCAGGCCTATACAGGAGAAAACATAATGGGAAAATTGAAATATGCTATTTTCTATCGATTTTTGATATCGATAATATGAGAGTAGAGTGGAAAGAGATAACCTAATATCTCCTTGTTTTTTTTTATCTCTTGCGCATCTGAAATTCTGCTGTCTGAAAATTTTCTACGCAGTAGTAAAGTGAAGGTCACTCAGAAAGTGTGTTAATTTATGAGCGGGACTACTAGTGACCATTGACCTATAACTTTCTGGTTGTAAGCCTCAATAGGGAATTGTACAGAATATCCAATCACCAGACTAAGCATTCCTGCGCAAAAAACGCTGAATTTTGGGGTTACGGATAAATATTCAGTTAATGAATGCAAATTTATTATCGCGAAAATTAGCAGCCAATCAGCAATCCAAGACTTGGCGCCATATGCAAAATAGCGAAAATAGCGTCTCTGGAACTATTTTGTTTAAATAAGTCGCAATAAGTAATTTTTTATTAAAAATATTTGAAATTTAGAAAAATACCTTTAAAAAAGCATAGAATAAATAATGAAATATTATAGAATAACTTCTTTAATTGATTTACATCTGTTTATCAGCCTAAAACAAATTTCATCGGTTCACTCACCCAGACAGTAATATTCCTACGCGAGAATATTTAGAAACGAGACTGCGTAGTCAGCCTACACAATACACAAGAAGGCGTGTCGTAGCGGTTGGCGTTCAGTCGGCTACTGTTTTTGACGCTTATTTTATCTCTAATTTACCAATTAATTGTGCTAAACAATTGTTAAAACAATACTTATTAGACTACAATTGGTGAGTAAAAAAATCAACTATTACTTTTACCTTAGAACCGGCTGCCACGGATTACTATATATGAATCACGTGCTTCAACTTGCCGGTCGGCCGTCTAAGAACACTAATTTTGTCGTTAAATACTTTTCGTTAGAGTATGAATTTATTAAAATATCAAGTATAAAATATCGAAGTCAATTATGGACTTTTAAAGATGAACTGTTAAAAATGTTTTACGGCATAATTAAGGAAAAAACTGTCACAGAACATATATAAACGCTTTCGCTTCGGCGCGCATTTTGTAAATGGCGCTAAGGAGTGGTGTCGAATAGTTGTGTAATATCATCGTTTTTCTTTTTTACAGAGTTAAATTAGAACAAATGCTGGGAAAAGAATACCGAGAACGGAAGTTCAGTATACTGGGCGGAGAAGATGGTGGGGAGCAATCGAACGATATGTACGATTTATGGAGAACGATGGAAGCTGTTGCACCTCTAACTCCTCCACTCTCTCCGAAAGGTGAAGAATTCACCCACACCTTCCTAATTGAAGATGATAAGTGTGCAAATTGTGTTAAGAATGGTCATATTATCAAGGACTGTATGTTTTCTTGGGAAAAAGATATGAAGGATGCTCCGGAGCCTCCTAAATGTTCGAACTGCACTTGTTCAAGACGCAATAGAGACTACTCATTTAGTGGAGAAAACTGTGTAGCTCCAACAGCTGTGTTTCCCTCGTGCTGCATTCAAGAAAAACCGAAGACGGAGATAAGAACACCATTCACTCTGAAATTTGTGAATGTTGAAACGCCGAATATGACCTCTGGTAAGCGCCACTGTAATACTATCTACTGTTCATTGTCGGCATAGATAACAGAAGTGCAACCGATATAATCGTCTGATACGATGTGTGTCGACCTTAGTACGCGCGATATTACTATAAAACAGCACGTGATGAGCATGTGCTTGTTTTGTTAACTGTGTAAAATATGTGTATACGCGTGCGTCGTCTGCCCCATAGAGGTCAACGAACAAGTCTTGACTTGGGCGATTATATCAAGTATAGGCCTGTTTAAGGCCCTTTATTCTCCGCTAAACATATTTTGTCTGGGACACCTGTCTGAAATTTTATAGTGAAACCCATATGTATATATATATTTTATTTATATACTGTATATCTCGGTCGGTCGATTTATTGCGTAATAAAAACTACATTGCATTTATTACTTTTCAGAATCTGAATCAGAAAATTCAATACAAGAGAGTTATGACACTGATCCAGAGGAAGAAAATGACGACGAAATTGATGTAGTTAGTGTGACCTGCAACGACGGTGTTGATGAAGATATGCTTGAAAAAGGTGATGATTGGAATTCAAACTCAGGAGCGTCACTCTCAGCAACAGTGGCTGCCATGCATAATTATACGCAACAAATGCCTAAAAAAGCAATGTCAATGCCACCATCACCAGCCTTACAATATGACTACGAAAGAAGTACACGTCCAGCTCAGTCTAGCAGAAAAATATTTAGTTCACCTACTTCTCCCGTCCATAAACGATCTAGGCGCAAGCTAACAACTAACGACCTCTATAGGGTTGCCAAACAAATACGCCGTGCAAATCGAAATGAAGAACGTGGCAAAAGAGCTCAACATAACACTCTGGAAAGGCAAAGACGCATTGACTTGAGAATGTCTTTTGAACATTTGAAAAATTTAGTGCCTACTCCAGGTAAAGAACGTATGTCGAAGGTAAACATACTTAAGTTTGCTGCTCAATATTGTAAGTCATTGACGAAGAAGCAAGAGACTTTAGAGGCACAAATGAAAGAAGAACAGGAAAAAAATAATAAACTCAGACGAAGGTTAAGTGAATTACGAAGTGGGAAAAGTTGTTGATCTGCTCCTATGCATAAGACAGTTTTTTATTGCTCACTTTTAGACGTCTGGGTGTGCCATTTTCGGCCTCTAATGTGTTCAATGAAGAACATTTATTATTTCTTTTTTTTTGTTTTTCACGGCTAATTTTCCTACTTTATACTCTTATGCTGTGTGCAAAGTCGGTGAATGTAGCTTTGTGGAAAACATGGAAGGGGGGGTCTCTTTACTGCTTCCCTTAGTTTGTTTAGTTTTCTTTAGTTTTTTTGTAGTTTATATTGTTTGTTTTGCAAAAATGCAGTATTATGAATGAATTAATTTGTGGGTTTTGTATTTGTACAAATTTTATTCTTGTAGTTTCGACTCACTTTTGATGTCGACTTATTATGCTTTGCAACATCATCCTAAACTTGTTTCATAAAGAGCATATATACATATGTATATATATATATATGTGTGTGAAATCACAAATTAAGCTATACATAAAAAGTGGTGTATGCCATATTATATGTATATTAAAATTTTATAAATATATACAGTATATATATATATATAATATATATATATGTAAATATATGGCTATATTTAAAAATACTTATGGCTGTATATATGCAGTATATCTGACTATGTATACATATATTTATATGATTTATTTAAACTTGTAAATATTATATACGTATGTGAAAAATAATATAGCTTGTACAGCATTGTTTAATCCTAAAAGAACGCATTGAAAAATACACTTAAATACTTGCTTCGAAGACGAATATTAAGAGTTGAATAAATTAATTGAAAGTAAATATTTCATGCCAGAAGAATGGTTATGTCTGGCGCGAATCAGCAACGTTGTAACAAACCGGCCGGTAGAGGGCAGGAAATCTAACAGGAATCAGTGGATTAAGGGTAGAAATATAATCATTCTCAACCCTATCTTAAATAAATTTGGTGAAGAATAGATAATAAATTCATTATAAGATAATATCTTGTTGAAAAATATTGGTTATCTCTGTGAAAACTCAAATTGACCTACTTATTGCGCAGGAACACATTTACATCGGCCTGGTGACCTGAAAAGAAGAGTAGCCGACCGCATTTCTCGACAGACGACGCTAACCTGCAGAAAATTTTTATCATTGGAAATCTGTCGATTGACTTAAGGATGACAACACTAAATTGTAAGAGAATAACAATGGTTGGTAACGAGACCAATCTGGATGGTTTGGGTAAGTTCGCTTTTATTGATTCGCCATAGTTTTCTGTCGAACGAAGTAAATAGGTGATGAAATAAATTACTCTCTTTAGAAATTCCAGAAGCGACAGGGCGCTAATTAGTAATAAGAAGACGAAGGGATCGAACCAGGACTTATGAGTAATTCTCTGGAGTCAATGGTCGTTATTGTTTGTGTCCAAAATCGAGTTCAATCGAGCCCGAATCAGACGCGTTTTATTTATAGATAGAGATCATTGAACACATTAAGGTCGGACATGGTTCAAAATTAAGGCATTCGTTTGCTCTACATAGCTTAGCTTTTGTTTTCTTTCCGGAGAAATGCATATAGGCGACAGCACCTTCGTGTGACGTCATTATGGATTTTTTTTTTCTATTAAATTTTGTTATTTGCTCTCAATTTTGGTCACGATTATCCCTTATATTTCATAGAAGTAATGTAGGTACATTATGCTTATCAGGCTATTAGATTATTTCAGAGTCAGTATTTTTTAAAGTATTATCAATTGAATGAATTGTAAATAAAAATGAACTAAATGTTTGACAAATTTATAAATAGAGAATTGTTTTTTTTGACAGAATTTGATGGTGAAGCAGTATTGTGTCGAGTTTGTGGAGATAAAGCAAGTGGTTTCCACTACGGTGTTCATGCATGTGAAGGATGTAAAGTTTGTTTTCAAATTAATTGAACGTATGCAACTTCTAACTCAAAGTGATAAAACTTTTAGGGCTTCTTCAGACGCTCTATTCAGCAGAAAATTCAATACAGACCCTGCATTAAAAATCAACAATGCCATATTCAAAGAGTAAATAGAAACAGATGTCAATACTGTAGACTGAAAAAGTGTGTTACCGTTGGCATGTCCAGAGACGGTATTTAAACAGATTGTTCATTAATATACAATATTAAATAAATAATAACTTTTGCAGCCGTCAGATTTGGAAGAGTTCCGAAGAAAGAGAAGGCAAAAATTATGGAACAAATGCAAAAAATGAGTAATGCATTTCAGGATAGGTAGGTACCAATTTCTTCAATGGTTTGCATATATGCTACGGAAGTATATTAATAAAGAATTGTAATTTTCAGCGCTATCGTATCGGCTTTAGATAACGTTGAAGACATGGGTACAGTAATAACAGAATCTCATTTGAAATCTTCTCACTTTACCAGTCAACATTATCGCAGACTACATGAACTTGCTTGGAAAGAGCAAAGTTACGCCCATTGTCCTCCCTACTTAGCATGCCCTCTTAACCCAAATCCAAGCTCATTCGATAGCCTACAAAAGTGGGAAGAGTTACATGACACATTTACACCTATAATACAATCTATAGTGGAATTTGCAAAGGGTATTCCCGGATTCGAGCTTCTATGTCCTGACGACAAGGTTACACTGCTTAAAGCAGGGACTGTGGAGGTCCTTTTTGTACAAATGTCATGTTTATTCGACGGTAAAACCAGTACCATGATCTTTACAAACGGGCAACTTTATAAACGCTCACCAAATAATAGTAGCTCCCTTCTAGACTCAACTTTCACTTTCGCTAATAATTTAAACAACATGAAATTGAGCGATAGCGAAATGGCGTTATTTTGCGCTCGGGTGCTCATCTCTCCTAATAGACGTCAACTTAGAAATACAAAGCAGGTGGAAAAAATATCTGAGAGAATAATTGGAGCACTTAGCGTGGCGGCAGAGAAATCTAGAATGGACGCGGAGAACTTTATTAATAAACTTATGACGATGGTGTATGATTTGGAAGCCCTTAGTTCTGCTCATAGTCTAAAGATGAATAAACCAAGAGAAAAGTCACCAGAACCACAAAGGAGATATTCAATGCCCTTTCTCTCTATGAAGAAGGATGATATACCATCAGTTGGCGAAAGAAGAAATACTTTTTCGGTTAATCGAGGTGATGGATCAAATGGAAAGAAAAGTGCGCTAAGAACCGCCTTATCGTCACCACCTTTGTCAAGTGTCAAAGAAAGCTTACTGATGGATAAAGAGTTAAAGGAAAAAATGTGCACAGCAACAGTAACTCCTCTAGCATTACTTGCCAGTAATATGCCCTCGTCAACAATTCTCCTGCAACACTATCAACAGCAGATGGCGAATGTGGATACTCAATTTCCAATGATCACTAACCAGTAGAAAATTCTAATGGACAAAAAAAACTGTAGCTTTCTGTTCTCGTTTTACGTAACATCCCATTCTGTTTTATTCACAAACAAAACAAACAAACAAAACAAACAAAAACATTCTTTTAGGATTATATAAAAACTATGTGCCATATAGCAAAGACGTATTTATTTACAAACAAAAATGTCTCACAAATTTTATCATTCACTCCTGCACGAATTGCTGTTAAATACAAATTAAAATATTTAAAAAGAATTGAACTATTTTCGCAAGAGTTGCCATCTAGCGGTCGACGATTGACTGTCCTAGCAGACGACTGACAGGATGCCGTTGGCAAATGTATTGGGAAATGTTAAAAGCGGTAAAAGCGCTTTTTTTCTATGCGATATGCAGGAAAGATTTCGACCTGCCATAAAGCATTTTGCTGATATTCTGGAAGTGTCAAATCGTCTGGTTGCTGGGGCTAAAATTCTCAAAATACCTTTAGTTGTGACAGAACAATATCCTAAAGGCTTAGGTAAAACTGTAGATGAGTTGAAAGAAGCTACCGATATTGCTGTTGGTGTATTTCAGAAGACGAAATTCAGTATGCTGACTCCGGAAGTGGAACATAAACTACCAGATTTGTGCGATGGAGCTTTGAAACATGTTATTGTATTTGGTGTGGAGACACATGTTTGTGTACAACAAACAGTTATTGATCTGCTCCAAAAAAACTACGAAGTTTACGTTGTAGCCGATGCTACTTCTAGCCGAAGTTTGGTTGACAGAAAATACGCGTTAGAGGTAGGCAAATCCTTATTTTAACGTGCTCCACTGAGCAAAAAGAACGATGTGACCGACATCTCTTCCTCTTAAAATGCATCTTTCAGCCTTCTATCCCATTATTTTTCTTTTAATTACAGAGAATTCGACAAGCTGGAGCTGTAGTAACGACAGCCGAATCGCTTCTGCTACAATTGGTCGGAGATAAAGAACATCCTTCCTTTAAAGAAATACAACAACTAATTAGATCGTCTGCTCCTCAGTCTGGCTTGTAGTCTTTTTGTTTATTATTTTTATAGATCATTCCCCAGATTTAGCCTTCAAATAAAGGTCTATGTGATCATCTGTATAATCGTAAACTTTAGCGAAATAAATATGTAATAAATGTGACGTACGAAAAGAAAGAGTAATATTCTAAATGGAAAACGAATTCACCCGGCTCGTGAGGAAATTCGACGTTTCCCTTATTTATATTTCTTACCATTAACGACAATAAGTAAGGGTTTCGTGCCCTTCAAGCGAATTACGTGATGTACGATAGCAAAAGTTGTTTCTTTTAGGAGGCGTACGAATTTCTTAATACCGTAATTAAGAGAATTTTCTTAACATTTCGCGATGATCTTTCTACTTAAATTTCTTCTAATAAACAGACAATAATACCACAAACTCTCTCAAGTTCCCCTCCTAATTAGGGAGGAGAGTCATACAGTTGAAAAATATCATCAACTGCTCGGTCAAATGACCTTCGATTTATGCTAGGTAGGTTGTTGCTTGAAATTGAATACTTCGCATATTTCCAATTATATGTCTAACCTCCCTAAACGAAAAATTATTGTCAAGGCTTTTAAAAAAAGAATGTTTTCGTACTTAAACCCTTCGGGTATAATCATTACTGAACCCTAACCACTCTATTATAAATGTATTCATAAATCACAATAACAATAATAATAATAATAATAATAGCCATTTATGATAATTATTTGACAGTTTTTTCAATTAAACTCTGGATTAAAAAGTGTAAATATACGAAAATCTTATTTAAACTTCAAAGTACATTAAATAGAACATTTTTTAAACTCTAGGACTAAACTATTTGAGCTCTAAATTAACACGTCTATCATTTTAGACAAGGTTAATGCCCTGATAACTAAGTCTGCTTCATCCGTTATTCATACTTTAATTACTGATATTTATTTTGTCAAAATTTTACAGAAATACTCTATAGATATTCTAAACAATTTTAACATTTCATAAATTATGTTTGCACCAACGGCAAACTTTCCAATTTACAAGCAAAACTACCTGCATATTAATTAGAATTATTCAAATATTTATCTTTAAATCTATTCTTATACAACAGTATCGTGAAATAGTTCAAGGTTTAATACAGATAAGCATAAGAAATTAAAGATTACTGACATAAATATACAGTATATATATATATATATATATATATATATATATGAGATTGATGATAATACATGTCTTATCAAGATGAAGAAAAGAATTGTGCAAAAAAAAAAAAATATCTCCCAGACCGGGAATCGAACCCGGGCCGCCCGGGTGAAAGCCGGGAATCCTAACCCCTAGACCATCTGGGATTCTTACATATAAGAATCAAAGAATTCTTTATAAAATAAGTCATTCACTCATACTCTCTAAACAATAAAGATCAAAAGAAATGTTTTAATGTAATTGTAAAATACATACTCCCAGACCGGGAATCGAACCCGGGCCGCCCGGGATCCTTAATATAGGATATGAAAGCCGGGAATCCTAACCCCTAGACCATCTGGGATTCTTAGAACATGAAAGGAATAGGATTAATTAAAAAAATCAACAATAATCGCCGCAAAAACTCATTGTTGTGATGAGGTTTCTTTGAAGGATTCCCAAATGAGATTCTATATTAAAAACATCCTTGCTTTAAAGCCTCTTAATCATGTTGGAAAATTAGAAAGTTTCAAATCTAGACCCGTCTGGGAAAAATAAACGCCCCATTATATATAAGTATACATATATATACTGTATATAGCTTTTTAAAACGAAGCGTAACGCTAAACAGCTTAGTATAAATTCTTATTTAGTATATTCCTAATTAAATAGACATTTCCTAATAACCCATTTTCTCTTCTTTAAAGAGAAATATATTCTTCTAAACGATCATAATCTTTCTCTTTATGTTATTCTATCATTCTTTGATTTAATTACAATAACTAACTATGAAATAAAGTAATTAGTCTTTGACATTAAAAGAAGAATGGCATAAGATTTAATTTTTATCATCTTTTCTATTTCTCTTCTAATTCTCTTAATAAAAAAAAATAAACAAAAAGATAATCTCCCAGACCGGGAATCGAACCCGGGCCGCCCGGGTGAAAGCCGGGAATCCTAACCCCTAGACCATCTGGGATTGTTGAAATAATATGGCAATTTGTATATCTTATACAAAATTTAGAATTCTATTTAATTCTGAGAGTAATATAACCTGAATTATACACACTTGTTGATTTAAATTAATGTTGAACTTTCAGTTAAAAAATAGTCCTTTTATAAATTCAAAGTGAATTATATAAATGGAGTCCAATAAACAACGAATCACAAGGAAATATAACGTATTGATTATTATAATACATCTCCCTTGGACACCTAAGAGCTTTCTTTCTTTCCTTTCCTTTCACTCAAAATCATACTTAATCGAATATCACCACTTCCTATAGAACACTTATACATTGCGCCTTATTAATAAGAAATAAATACCTAATTTCAACAATCCCAGATGGTCTAGGGGTTAGGATTCCCGGCTTTCACCCGGGCGGCCCGGGTTCGATTCCCGGTCTGGGAGATTATCTTTTTTCTTAATTATTACATTTTTAATTATACTTTTTAATTATTTTTCCTCTTTAATTATACATAAGGAAAATCAATGAGAGTTAGGCTATTGTTAATTTCAATCGCCCCTATAGGCTAAAAATAACGATTGGCGTTTCTTGAATAGTAGGCCATATTAAATTCTAACGCATTCGATTTTCTCTGTCTGAGAGTTACCTATTTCTTTATTACTGTTTATTTTATTTATTTTTGGGTGAAAGTTCATTTTCGGTACTTTGATAAATCAATTTCCGGTTTGTAATTGATTTTACAGTGCCATCTGTAGTGTAGTAAATTGTGTGATATTGACTGCCCTCTAGCGGTTTTCATTAATTTTCGTTGGAGAAACGTAAATACAAAAGTTCAAAGAGTATTTATCTATAATTTTCTTTAAGGAAATATCGAGGCCATGCCACTATTTTTTTATTCTTTTTATGTTTAAGCAGTTCGTTTATGATAATAGAGAAAGATATACTGTGTATAGTTTATTAGTATACCTATTAAGAATCTAAGGGTAGGCGTGTATGTTTAATAAATAGATGCAAAGAAATGGCATTAAATTGGAATTGGAAAAGCATCTACTCGTAAAATTAAAGATTTGCTAGAAAGTACGTTGTGTTATCCTTTTTTAAAGGCTGAATTAAAATAGATATGTTGAGTTGAAAGTATAATTTTTTTCCAGCTAGAAAAAGTTCATTATTTCTTCTATTAGTTTGTTATTTCGCCAATTTAAAACATGAATTTGGGTTAATTAACTTTTTAAAGCAATATATATCCCAGATGGTCTGGGGATAAAGCTTTGCAGCTTTCTATAAAATCAAAAGTTATAATTAAAGTTCCCAGGCGGCCTAGTGTTCGATTCCCTGCTATGAGGATTATGCTTTTCTTTAATTTTGTTTAAATCTGAAAAAAGTTTTAGAAAACAAAATATAGCCCTACAATAGGTAATTTACATAATTACTAATCAATTTTGCATTGTTTGTCTTTTGTATTGAAAACATTTTTAACTGAAAAGTGAATAATAGCTGAGTTTATTTGTGAAAGATGCAGGACAGTATTGCATTTAATTTTCTTTATGGACGGAATATTGGACGGATTAGAAGATTGACGTATAGATAGATAGATAGATATAGATAGAGAGGAGAGAGGGAGAGAAAATATGAGATTAATTGCAATGATTACATCACGACTAATTTTGTTTTTTTTATTCTGTTTTTCTAACGATTTTTCGAGGTTAAGCTTCTGTAAGAAATAAATAAAGCACATTGGAATGATTACTTTCTCTTTCCAATAGAAAGCAATATGGGAGCATATTATATATCTAATTCAATCTGTACCTTGAATTTAATTCATCACTTGGCGTCAAACCACTACTAGGTTTAGTCGGAATGTATCCTGTTGACTTGTAGTAATCAATAAAAGTGCGAACAACATTTCTTCCAAGCTTCTGATAGGCGTCTTCAGTATAAGGAATGGGTTGTAAGGTTGACGAATTTGCAGGAGTGTAGCTATAGAACGAAACTTCCAGGGTATAGCAGTAGGAATTTTCATCCAAAATACCTCCCAAAGTTCTGCAACAGATGGCGTTAGCGATTTGCAGTCAAACGGTTGCCAAGCAAAACTCTCTTGCAACGCCAGCCGCAAGAACTACTTTTTTTCTAGGAACGGCGCCAGTGCTAAAAAACCGGGCCTAGTTCGAATTTCTCGTCAGAGTCATCAATCGTATGTACCGGTCTGACTTTTCTCATCTTTCACACGGCGAAAGGGAGAAAAAGGAGTATAGCAAACAATCGAGACAAACTCTATCGATCGGAGTAGAACGGCGGGTCTATTGAACGGCGCCATTCCGCGTCGGATCGTTCTGCGATTCGCACCATGCCTAAAGTGCCGCCCGCTTGCAAGCTAACGCCAGCTCATTTACAGGTTTGTTCTAGCCAAAATCATTATCGCCCGAACGACAAAAAGGGAAAAAATGTTTTTATCAGCATGCTTTCTTTCTAAATATATAAATAAATGAAGCCTTTCAACTATACTATAATTTTATTACTTTAGCAATTGCAATATATATGCATGATATTTATTTACGTTATTATTTTGGGGGGGAATCTCTTCTTCATTTTTTTGTTTGCCACGACCAACCAAAATGATATTATATGTCTTGTATTTTTTTAACTTGAACATTTTGTTATCTATTATTATTATTATTATTATCATTATTATCATTACTATTATCATCTCTTTATATATATATATATATTCTTTTAGTAAATATATATATAAATATATGTTTATATATATGTTTCTATTTAAATATAAAACCGTTAATTTTTCACCTTCACGTTCCATTAATAATTTTTTTTACCGTTTTCAGTTTGAACATTTATTATCTTCTATATACAATTATTATACTTTTTTCTTCTGCATAGTGATATATTGCGTGCAGTATAATATCATGTTGAAAAAAAAACGGCAACTACTAAGCTCGTTTTAATTTGGCTTATGAAGCGTTTTGTTTTTGAGTTGTTTTGTCAAACATTCTTCCATATCGACGTTGTCGTTTAGCGTTCTACTCAAGTTTAACTAAACAAGGTGATATATTTTGTTTATTTTATTATTTTTTTTTATTCATCTTTTTTCTTTCTAACGCTTTTTTCATTTAATTATTTAATTTTAAATACAAAACCAATCAAACGAAAGATATATAACTGGGGGAAGACAAACTCTAGTATATTTCTTTGGATTGGATTCTACTTTCTCTTAGCTATAACCTAAAAGAAAACCGTTTAATCCTATTCGATGCGGGTCGTTGGCCCTTTCGAATATATCCGGTTTTCTTTTTTTCCTTTTTTCTAGAAATCCGAGTAAGACAACGTCGTTTCTATATGGTAAAGTCTATAAAAGGTTTTTCTTTTTTTTTTTATTTCCCTATTTTTTAAAAAAGAAAACCAAAAACAATAATTTAAAAACAAGAAAGAAAACGAAGTTGTTAACCTCAGAACGCCTGCAAATATTCGACGATTTCTCGGCCAGATGACGTATTTACAAAAGCAACATGTTTCGCGTATATATGCATATTATACAAAGTCGATTCACTTGAACTCGTTCGACTTTTTGCAGTGCGGGCACTCTTGCCTCCAACATACATATATATATATATATATATATATATATATGTATATGCTCTCTATTTATTTATTATTATTTTTATATTTACATACATTAATAGTGTTTACAATTTAGTTCAATTAGTTAAGCTCGGTTTTAGGTCTGCTAAGCTAAGCAGTATGATCAATGGTCAATATAGACGTTTACATTTATACAATAATGAATATACCATAGGGTATATATTGTATAATGTATTATATACTGCGCATATAGCCCAAAGATCTTGATGAATTTGGCCAAGCGCTTTCGACTCTGACTACGAAAAAAGCAAAGCAACAAACTTCAAATATCACAACCGGTCTGAAAAAGGTCAACCGATAGTCATCGGCGACTAAATTGGCTTTTAATGCCGGTAATAATTAATGTCTAAATCGAAACTCTAGCAGCCAAGAGTTGAAACGTCTATCTAAAAATGAAACATGTGCAGTATATATCCCCATATGGCATTTTACGCATACTGACTTATATATATATACTAATATATATATAGACTTTTTATAAATATAGACAAATGTATATACTGTATATATATACATATATATATATATATAATATTACACAAGTCATACTTACAGATGTATATCTATATATTATAAGTCAGTATTTTCTTATAAAATTGTATATAGTGGTATATTTATATACAAGAACTACTTTTTTTTTTCAGAGTTTGGCAGCAGCAACAGCTGTGAGTCAATCAATGCTGCATGCAGTTTTTGCTGGCGGTGGGAAGAAGGCAAACTCGACGGCTAATTAAGAGTAGTCGGTCGAGAATCTCAGCTCTGCAAGTATCAACGCCAACGCACTCCAGAGAACAATTATTCTCTTTACGTATACTGTAAAATCGATGGGACTAGAAAGGAAGAGGGTGAATGAAAAGAGCGAAATAGAGAAAGTGGCGACCTGCACCACTACAGTCAAATATAAACATTGGAAAGAATCGAGAGCAAATCTTGTCCAGCACACTTTATGGCTTATCGTTTAATCTTCACGCAATCTCGCCAACTGCTACAACGAAATACACTTGGCCGCTGAATCGCCTCGTCAAAGCGAAAATCTATTAATGCTACAAGGGAAGATAAAAGACGTGTACAAAAAAAAGACTAGACCGTGAGTAAATAAGGCGAAAAAATGCGCTTGTACTTGGTATTTTTTTTTCAAATATATATAACCGTTGGCGCGTTCTTGTTCATACACATTCGATACACTCGAATAGGCTCGTGGCAAACAAAACAATGCTCATCAATAATATAGTAAGCTGTATATAGTTGTAAATAGAAAGAAAGAAAAAGAGAAAAACTCAGACGAATCGCCTAATCCATAATGCATGGATACCGTGCATTGATATTCATAGACCCTCTCGTTCATAATTGGCGAGAGATGGCGCGGGGGTTTCGTTCGGGCGTCGAAAGGTGATGAGGAAAAGATAAGTAAATAAATATCGCGTTCGTTTACGTATATAAACTACAGATCGCGAACAGCGTGTACGGGGCAGCAGCAGCAGCAGTTCGACCTATACAGACTCTACAAAGCACCCTGTCCTCTCCAGCCTTACAAATGCCAACTACTCCCGTACTACCCAGTCTCATCTATTCGAACGTGGTAAGTTTCTTATAAAATCTACTTACCGCCTGCCAGTCCCTGCCTTCATTGCGTCACGATTGAAATTTGTGTTCTGAATTGAGAAATCTTCGGCATTTTGACAAAGAAGTTTGGGGAATATAGCTTGTCGTTCACATCTCGAAACATCGTCGTATGTGTTTCCATACATAAAACCACTCATAAGGGTAGAATGGGCATGGATATCAATGTAGAAATCCAAATCAATGTTATTATCTTGGTCATAACTCATAAGTAAATTCTTGGTCGCATAAAGAGCGGGTTGGGCCCACGGTGACGGTTCTTGCCAATGACGATTCAAATCGAAACCCATCAGAGAGCATCTAAGATACAAAAGATTAACATAACAGACGTCTCATTACGATGACAGATCGCCGTTTTCGGCTAAACAAAGAAAACGCATGCAATTTTTACCAATATTTATCTTATGATATACGAACGACAGCTTCGCATACGCAATACTTTTCCACGCTCGTAATGCAATAATACCGCGTTGAGACGTCGTTATTTTATTTACTATGCAAATATGCGTCCCGATTTAATACTGGCTTTGCGTCGTTTTTATTCCTTTATACGTTCATAATCATTTTTCTAATTTACTTCGATCTTTCAAAATCATTAAATGGGTCACTCAGTTGCTTTATTGTTCGAGCGTTCTCAGTGTTTACGCAAAACGAACTTAAGGAGAAATAATTCGATCGAATCTTACAAGAAAATTAGCACCTATTTACGCAACGAACTCCTATTCAAACTAGTCAATTGGGCGTATTATAAAAGTTGTGTAATCCGCTCACCTATAATTTCCCAAATACACTCCATCGGGGTTTAACATGGGTACAATTCTAAATATTAAATGCTCCCGGAGACTCTTCGCTATTGGATGACTGGAGACAAGAAAATCAATAACACCTGCAACAATGTAGAAGAGACGTTGCAGCATATAAGAGCATATTATAAGATTATATGCCAATAACCTTGGCAGACGAAGGATGACGGTGTTTCGCCTGGATGAATTCTTGCTGTTATGAAAATAACCTTCTTCTTCTCCTGGTCATTTTTCGGGACATTTCGTGGATGAGTAATGGTTAAAATATCCACCCGTCTCTCTTGCTATTTAGTGCCAACGATATATAAATTATTATAGGCTTAGTATATCATTTCAGAGAAAAATTCTTTTCTACTTACTACAGTCAGACAAAGCAGTTCGCGTTTGAAGAAATTGTAGTTTTTACGTTCTACTGCATCCAAATAGTTTTGCAGACGAGTATAATCATAAGGATAGCAGTATGCAAAATGATAAACATCGTCTTCTTTATCAAACATAAAAGTTACGGATAGAACGTAATTTTTCCTATGATCCGGGCATCGATAATAGTAAACTTGTTTCGCTGGAATCCTTACCCTAATTTTATAATTGTATTCAATTAAAGCGAAGATAACCACATTTAGTGCGAATGAAAAAGAAAAGAACGAAAAGCCATTACCATTTAGGTCGGCTAGTTGACATTACAACTGGTGACATACCATCTCTGTAGAGTGATTTTGTTTTAGAGAAATTAACTATGTTAAAGACGACCCTCTGAAAGATAGTATATAATGTAAATGTTGCAATGATACTATGCAAGTATTGTTATACTTGATCTGCTTTTACGTTTTCCACTGTAAAGTAAAACCAAACCCTGAATCGAGGGCTATATGTATCAGGACGGATGAATAGATCATACTCTATATCGCTGATGTAATCGACTCTCCCGAGATTTCCTATAGTAATATATATTTATAGGATAGACCTAATAGAGGAACAGATTGTTCTACCTGACTCGAAATATGCGTTAAATACCAAATGTCCTTTTTTCGGTTTTCCTGTGTATCCTGGGGGTGTGACTGCAAACTTTTGCAGATTGCCTACGACTGTTTCTTCCTGACTTTCGGATTCGCTGCCTGAAGCAAGACTTTTAAGTAGAGTGCATATATCAACATATTATGGTCGGTTTGCCTAATAGCAACGTAGTTTTAAACCAATAATTATCGAATTCTTCTCAGTTTACAAACCAAATAACGTCACTATTCACCATTTAAAACATGACAACAATTCTTAATTATCGTAAATAAAATACTTGAAATCATTGAATAGGGATTGAATGTCAACTATCTCTAAATAATACATTCATCCGATCGGTTACATCAGTTACCAAAGAAACGAAAACACGCGGTGAGCGATAACGCAGAGAAATAACAATTTCTTAAACATCTCTTTTAATATAGACTGTAAACTGTTGTCAAGGATACTGATCGATTCGCTTAATATGATTGTGTAAAATTATGTTAGCGAAAGAGGAGAATATTTTGTAGGCTTATGAGAAAATACGACATTAAACAAATAAAAATTTACCAGATTCGTTTTTATCCGCCATATTCAATGGCCCACAATGCCCACCAGTCAGCTGTCAATAGTTTTATAGTCGATTTATAGTAATTTGAGTTTTTGTTACTCCAAAAAAATAACTTCAAATGGCTGATGTAATTAAAATCAACAATATCATTTCAAGTCGCCAACCAAAGAATACTGTTCTACTCAATAAAATCGAATTTTAATTCCTACATGAGGACGCATAACGTCCACTTATCTCTTCCTAGAAATAACACTACGCCCAGAAAAATAGTTCCTAGCAATTTGGCCTAATTTTAGCGCTAATTGATCGGATTTTAAAAATAAAAATATTTGCTTATTATTAATTGTAATATTAATAAAATATTAATGTACGTATCGTCCTTTTAAGAGAGTTTTAATGATAAGTGGAGTATTGGCAAACTGTAGGAACGTTCTTGCGCGCTATTTTTCCTTTTGGTTGCAAAACGAACGCGTAGAGAGAGGAAGGGCATATTGCAGTTTGACGAATTTTCTGCCTTCCTCTTCACTCTTTTCTTTCGTTTGTTTATTTGTTTATGTACACTTTTATTTAGTCTACTCTCATCTTCGGTTCGATTGCAAACTGATTGTCAATTTTGTGCACCGAGTCAATATTCTACGATATTCACTTGGAAGAAATTTAGAAGAAAATTTGGCTTTGGTATCTTTTTTACATCGTTCTCTCGATTTATTATTTGCTCGATACTAGAAAGCCGATTTTTTAATTATATATTTCGAGGTAAGCATTTTCTTTATGTATCGAGAATTCTTTCATGCATTATTGCTGTTTCGTCCGGTTCTCTTTGCAAAAAACTCCCATATAGAAAGACATCTCAATCATAAAATTCTAACGGGTGAAAGTACTCTTCGATTTACCCTATATACAAGTATAAAACTGCTATATGACTATTTTTGATATGTTCTAACCATTGGCTAGGCCTACATACTTGAGGTTTTCTATAGTCTAGTTCTTGTGCTACTGCACTACTAAGGTAATTGAAATAAGAGGCATTTTGCAGTTGGCTGCCGATAAGATAAGCTACCGTGGGCGTGTTGTTACTCGATAAAAAAAGGAAGCGTCCTTTCTGGCAGGCGGCGGCGTTGTGATAATGGCGTTTTTTTCATTAAAAAACTACTCATTAAGGTGATTGCTTGATAGGCCTGGTGTTTATTTTTTCATGTGTATATACAGGTATCTATTATATCGGGGATTTCCATCTGTATACTTTTTATTACTCTTACACACAATGTCATTCTTATATTCTTGTCTCCAAATGTTTATTGTGTTGGTTACATAACTGCCCTATAATATTACATTTTATTCAAACTATCTTCTTTTTGCAGCTTGAAGGCAGAATGGACTACTATAACAATGAACGTCAATGGGTATGTAATTATTAATTTTTTTTGGCAATAATTTATAAAATCCCATCTCTTCTACAACACAAAAAGCATCTCGCAGAAATGACAAACTGCATGCATTTATATACAAAGTAGAGTGCGCTGAGCAAGGGTACATAGCGTAACCATGGAAACTACTGGTACAAGAATATGTACGTTGTGGTGCATGTTTTATTACCTACGTATTAGAAATATTTCTTATTTCAAGGGGGGAAAATTGCTAAGAAGCTTGTTTTTAAAGAAATTGAAGAAATGGGCAATTTTAGGGAAAAATAGGAAGTTGATTGCAGGCAATATAGAAAGTCAACGTTGACGCGCAACCTCATTTACATATCGACGCTGGACGCCCCAATGCAGCGTCTCGACGATAGTGACGTACAAAGCTTGATGTTAGCGTTGATCAGAGTGTGTCGCATACAAATCGAACATTAAGCTAAAATGTAGGCAAAGTCAATTAGATCAGGCTCAAGCTGGATAGCCCTCTTTAGAAATGTCATTATTTTCCTAACCAAGGAAACATGTTTCTGTTTTCAGATTAGCCCCGAACCTATGACAATGGAAACGACTAATGGCCGATCTGATTCCCCTATTACAACGCAACCCCCCAACACCCAAGGTGGAGGGTGTGGAGTCGATTTAGGCGAGAGCAAGACGAACTTAATTGTCAACTATTTGCCACAAAATATGAACCAAGAAGACATTCGATCCCTCTTTTCATCCATCGGTGAAGTAGAGAGCTGTAAGCTGATACGCGATAAAACGGCAGGACAGAGTTTAGGTTATGGATTTGTTAACTACAAGGATGCAAATGATGCAACGAAAGCCATATCGACATTAAACGGTTTGCGCCTACAGAATAAGACGATTAAAGTGCGTTGAATATATTTTATATATTAGTCTGTGACCGTTATATTTTAGCCTTATAACACACCAGATATATATATATATATTTAAATTATAGAATAATGAATGTATACATGTGAGCTGAGAATAATTTGAACATCTTCGCAGGTGTCATATGCAAGGCCATCATCAGAAGGTATTAAAGGAGCGAATCTTTACATCTGCGGTCTTCCGAAAGGCATGACGCAGCAGGAATTAGAAGGCCTTTTCAGCCAATGCGGTCGCATTATAACGTCACGAATCCTGTACGATCACACAACCGGTTTGTCGAAAGGCGTCGGTTTTATCCGATTCGATCAACGATCTGAAGCGGAAAGGGCCATAAAGCAGTTAAATGGAACGATACCGGATTCGGCTAGTGAACCGATTACAGTGAAATTTGCCAACTCCCCGTCTTCAAATAAAACAAGCGTCGCAGGGCCGACTAGTCTACTTCCCGCTTCCTTAACCTCGTCATCCGCTTTAGCTGGCTATTTATCACCAGCCGGTAGAAGATTTCTCGGCCCAATTCATCATCAGGCTGGCCGATTCAGATCGGTTGATAGGTATGCTTTTAACGCATTACAGCATATTACCATGGTATTATACATCATCTCTGTTTTAGGTTTTCACCCATGGACGGAAGTACACTAGTTCCGACTGCAAATTCTGCCGCTGCTTCGGCGCTTTTGTCTGGTAATTCATTAAACGGATCTGGATGGTGTATTTTTGTTTTTAATTTGGCTCCGGAAACGGAAGAGAATGTTTTGTGGCAGCTGTTTGGTCCGTTTGGTGCCGTACAGAGTGTTAAGATAATTAGGGAAGTAAATACTCAGAAATGCAAAGGTTTCGGCTTCGTTACTATGACTAATTACGAAGAAGCTGTTATGGCCATACAAACTTTAAACGGCTATTCCCTCGGCAATCGAGTTCTACAGGTCTCATTCAAGACGAGCAAACACAACAAGATGTAGCGCAAGTTTTTTTTCTTCAGCCTCATTTTTTCGTCTTCTTTATATCTCGCTCTCTTTGTCCCTATCCTGCTCTCTGGCCCTCTCTATCTCTCTCGCTTTCTATTTATAAGACGTATCTATTTAAAGACTATATTCGTCGTTTTAGTTGTGTATTCGCACAGCACTGAAATCATTTCGTGCTTGTTTGTTTTTTGCCGGTCTTTCGTTGTGAAATTTATTAGGATTTGTATTATCTGCTCTCGTTGTCTCACGCTTTGCGTTTTTTGCTTCGTTTTTCTTTATTAATTCAGACTCGTTACGATTTTGCCCTCCCCCTTACTAGTCAACGTTGTGTGTGTTTAACTGCCAGTATATTTGTTTGTTTTTTCTCTTGTTTATTTTATGATTATTGCCTTAACTTATAAATTCGAATTCGTCGTGCGAGTCAGTGGCCGGTTTTCAGTTTTAAGGTTTAGTTCTTGTGTGCTTCGTTCTCGCACAGCGCAGCCTTTTCGACGTTCTTCCACAAGCATCGATTTTGCAACGAACATTCCATCGAATACTCAACGGACTGCTGCCGCCTACCCAAACTGTGATTCCGCGCTGCTGTCTCTATATATGTGTATATGTGGGAATTGTATGCCTGGCAACGCGCATTCGAAGCATCTTTCTCTTTAATTTTATAAATCAATTAATTTATATGTTCGATATAGAATGCTCGTTGCTTAGCGTGCTCATTGAGCTACGAAATAAAATTGTACAGTTTACTGCAGCAATGATCTCGACATTGTTGTGTTTTTATGTAGTTTTAACATATATACTCGAAATTCGAATACAGAGAGTCTAATCATCGTCGAACGTTGACATTCTCGCAACATCTCACTAACCTTTATTGCAGCTATGGGGTACAGCTGGCGAAGAGCGCCGTTATGGTAGCCTACGTACAAACGTTAGATTGATTGATCGTATACCCAACTGCAAAATGTTTACTCGCGTTTAACTACCGCCTTCTTTGTTTTAGCCTAGATGCAGTTTTCTTGTCGGCAGCAATTGGGAATATATTCGCCACTGTAATTGCTTATTTCCTTCAGACCACACGCTTAAGAATTGTAATCAATCTTTGCGGTTCGCTTTCTTTCAATTGCTGCCATTCCCAGGCCGATATCGAATGTCCGTCTATTACAGGTGTTCATTAATTAAGGCAGTAAAAAAGCTAGGAGGAACGAATTTTTGCCTAGTACAAAGTGAATCGATAGCTTCTGCTATTGGAAGTACAAAATCAATGCTGTATTACTGGAGAAAACGAGAACGTGGCGTGTATAAGCGTTAGTGCGCAACTTGCGCTACTGCAATTTTATGAATGCGTTCAGATTGATTGCGTCTTTGATCAGGCGCACCGTCTGAGTCACGATATTTTGTCTTTTTTTCTCCTAACGCAATGCTACTACAGCAGAGAGCAGTTCGGGACGGGTCGCTATGACAACAAACGTCCCAGTCGGGAATAGGCTAATGGTGATGGATGCGGCGTCTGCACAATATGAACGCACTCTTATTGAACTGGTGGTCGATCAGTGGGACTTAACGCCATGTACATTATTCAAATCTAGTTCTATACAACGTAGAAAAAAACTAAACACAATAGAAATTTCAGAATCGTTCGCTTTTGCGTGTGAAAAATTGGCGTCGAATACAACACTTATTTGCGCTATACTGCATTGATATGCGGCCTCACATAGCAAATGCAAATTTAATCTGGGAAGCTAGTGCGACAAACGCCATGCTGCATTGTCCAACTGCAACACCGCAATTCTCCCTATACGCTGTGTTGCCAACTGATTAAATAAAGCCCGAGATACGTATTGAATTTATCAATTTGCAGTCGTAAGTGCATACCACCTAGATGGCGTTACATTATTATCAGCTGAATTATTAGTTTTTCGAGGAAGCCATTCAGGGTTATTACATTAAATTTGTATATCTGTTTTAAAGCGTCTGATGATTTATTAACGGAGATGAGAACAAAAAATAAACATTGTCCCTACAGATGGCGCTATGTTATGACTCCTCCGTTTCGCCCTCTAAAACAGCCATAGGCTTTTCCATGCGTTTTAATAGATTTTCTTGAACTTTCTTCATCTCGCCTTCATACGAATGCATAGTTTTCAAAATCTGCTTTTGTAAGTCATTTACATGCCCATATTCTTCGTCAAGTTTACCAACAACATCTAAAAGTTTATAGCCAGATGCAATTGTTGTAGTGTTTATATTTGCAATCCGAAGTTGAACATCTATATTACTTTCTGATAAAGTTATAATTAGTTTATCTGTAAAATAATATTAAACAAAACATTTACTTGTATGATTTCGAACTTGATCCATAATATCGTTCAATTCGGCTTCCATAATGGAACATTCCTTTAGTTTTTCGGCATAGTCGAATGGTTTTATTTCATTCTGCAAGAGTTTAGAAGGCTTTTGTTTTGCAATGGACTAAATTCGCATAATTTACCATTGTATTGTTTTGAGACATTTTCAATTAGGCAAACGTGTTCACGAAAAAAATCAGGAAGCAAAAAGTTATGATTTGAAGAACGTTACGAAATATAACATACACACAGTGGCACCTACTGGAGTACATAGGAACTAAACTGGCGCCAAAAAAATGTGATCGAATTGTGTTCAGTTAGTTTATAGTATCCGAATGTCAATTATTATTCACCGTAAACAGAAAAGTTATTAATAGAACAATCAAATAAAATTTACAAAACTACATTTTTCAGAAACTAGCAGAAAGCTTGTTGGAGGTAGAGATAAAAAAATATTCTACGTATCAAGAGAAAATTAGGATATTTTAACTCAAGGTAAACAAATAAAATTGTTAACTGCATTCCAGTTACTACTACCATTCCAGTTTAAGATCTGCCTTGCTCCATATATATTTTCCACCTCTTTTAAAAAACATTTTCTCATCAAAATCGCTATGATTTATGGCATTTTGAACCCCAACATCAAGTAGAGACTTTCCAGGAGTCTTTTTAGCCCCGTCCAAAAATCGCATGTATTCATCTAGGATTAGATAAGAGCTTCTCATCTGTTTAAATAATAACAAAAATATAATGATGACTAAGAGAAAAAATTAAAATGACAAACCGCGTCATTGTTCTCTGGAACAAGACACTTTACTGATGAGTGACGCTTGAGAAACTCTTCAAATTCTTGATGACTCAAAACAAATTTCTCAGCGTTACGTAACGCATCTTGACCTGCGTTCTCCCCATCAATAATGAGACATTGAAAAACTTTCCATCTAACGGGATTTAGAACAGATATTTCTTCTGTCATATCTTCATCCTTATTATACGTATTTACGACTGTATTGATTTTGAAAGCAACCCCATATTGAATACACCATTCTCGAACTTTCCTTAAACTGTCTAAATGAGACTTCTTCCCTGCTCGACGGCCAATTTTATCATTCGTTTCAGGATTAAAACTATCGCAACTTATAGCTAATATATCTAAGAAATAGCCATATTCTTGGAACCACTCCTCCGTAATTAAGCTACCATTTGACACGATAGTAACGCTGGGAACTTTCAGATCGCTTTTACAAAATTTCACCAAATCGCCCAAATATTTTCCTTTATCTTTTAAGAACGGCTCTCCACCACTAAAATTAATCTTTTCCATACCCTCGTCAGTCAACATTCGTAGTCCTTTTTTTGCCTCCGACAATGGAAGTACGTAAGATGTTTTTGCAGTATGAAAACAGAAACCGCAACTGTAATTGCACTGCCTAGTAAAATGATAGTTAACACTCAGCGGTATAACTTTGTCGGATTTAGATTTTAAGTATGCCTTTCGAAATATTCTTTTAAAGACATACAAAAAGCCAATGGGTGATAATAGTATTAAAATACTGAAGAATTCCATTGTGCGATAGTGATTGTCAGATAATGAGTTACTAACTTGTACAATATACATATATATATAAATATTCTTGTTTCGATCATGTGATGGAAGTTTAGTTTCTGAAAATCGAAACTAAAATTCCCGGAAAGCTATTACTTTCTAAACTCTCTTTACAAACTGCACAGTATAAACAGATTCCGAAACACTCTGATAGAATGAGACGATCGAACATGCAGGAATCCAAGTATCTTGTTTGTAAATCTTGGGAAAAGACGAAAGAAGTTCTTCACCTGGTAAGTTCCTACAATTTGTAACTATTCTGCAGTAACAACAACAATAATATATAGGGTATTTGTTGTTAAATTCAGAATAATAGCATTTCAATACTATGATTACAAATAGCCCTAAAATGTCATACTGTAAAGAATCGTTCTCTATTCAGAGTTCAATTGAGGTTATTAATTTATTCAGAATTCAGAAGTTATAGGAGTGTCCAAATTGCTAGACTTAGCGCAAAAAGCTTTCGGAAACAAACCCACTATTTCTTCATTATCCCATCCATTTTTTGTAATTGAGGGCTTAGACGGGACTGGAAAATCAACCGTTGTAAAAGGTTTGTGTAAAGACTTGAATGCAACAGGTGCACAAACTCCTCCACCGAACTTACTTGAAATTCGATCAACTTTTGACAAACTGGATACTCAACTTAAAAGAGCTTACTATTCGACTGGTAATTATTTAACGGCCCATTACCTACAACAACTTTGCCAAGAACGCGTCGTTGTGATGGATAGGTAAATGAGTCTTCAGTGTTGTAATTTTCCGGTAATTGAAGAGCAATTTACACAGATTTTGGCACAGTACTGCCGCTTATACTATTTCGGAAACCTGCTTTTCAAAGCAGGAAGAACTTCCCGAACCTGGTGATGAGATTTACAACTGGCCCGAAGATCTTCTAAAGCCTACAGCGGTCATATTCCTAAAGGTATCGGAGGAGGAACGTTTAAGACGTATCTACTCTCGAGATGGCGACAATATAACTGTGGAGGAGAGTCAAATATCTAAAAATTCTCTTTTTAGAAATATGTAAGTATATATATATACTGATTTATATAACGTATACTTATTAAACAGTATAGATTTGTACGTATAAATGAGATATATTATCTTCAAGTACTTCAATGCTTTATCACCTCCATTTTATAGGATTGCGGAATCCTACAGACGTATGAGTAATCCTGGCGTAATAGAAGTTGACGCCAACGGATCACAGGAGGAAGTTACCGCTAGAGTGGTGCAAGCCTTAAAGACTTTTATTTAGTTCAATAACACGTTCCATTCTAATTGTTATTTTATCTTAAAGGACCTATCTATCATCTTTCTTTCTAACTAAAAATTTGCAGTTATAGTTATATATATATATATATATATATACAGTATGTATATTATATATTTTCTCAATTGCCATCACAACGTATGAAAAATTAGGCTTTTAAAAAAGAAAATTAATTAAAAAGTACAAATTAAAACCTTGATAAAAAAGTATAATACGGTTTTTAATTATCTCTTTTTTCTAATTCTATTACATAAATGATTTTCGCATCAGAAATCTTGTGAATTTTTAATAAAGGAAAAACAAAATCGCTTTTAACCTTTTGATATTTTTTTTAGAATAACACCACGGTAAATTAGTTGATATTTTATATTTGTAACAATAACAATAGTAATTACTAATTGAAAACATTGTAAGAATAATATAGGTTCTTCGTATTATATGAAAACAACGAAATTGTTTATACATATTTTAAGTCTTTTATAGAATTTAATGAATTCGATGGAAATTTAGCGTCTCTTACCTGATAAATTCTTTATTTTTTTTATGAGAAGCTTTTTTTATGCCCATATGTACAAAGGAAAAATAATTAAAAATAGAAACATGAAAATAGCCCGTCATTCAAACTTCCAATGAGAGATAAAGGAAACGAAAGCCTCTTACCTTTATCCTATAAACAGAATGAGATTTAAATGCTTTTCGTTTGCGAAGATACTAATAAGCTTTACTATGAATCTTGTAAGTCTTAAACATAAGGAATAGTTTATAATATTTTCTCTCTGTCTGTCTCCGTCTTTTCTCTTTCTTTCCTTATTTTATCGTATCGTGGATCTTACTTCACAAACAATATATCATTTAGTAAAAAAATTTGGTATTGTTTCTTTCTTTTTTGTATGGTTTATATTGTAAAAATAAGACAGTACAGATTTATATAAATTGACATTATAACAAAAAAATCTCTTGCACGAATAAGAAGCTTAGATCACGTTTCAATCCACTGATTGAGTTTCGCTCATTTTTGTAAAGTCAAAGTCACCTAATAATTCCTCTTCAAAGTCTAATTCATCTTCCAAGTCTTTTGTTTCTCTTTTTACCTGAACGTCCTGTTCAATAGTTTTTTCTTCCTCGTTTCTAGAATTATCTCTTATAGGCAGTGGCTCTTTGGTCTTTTCTTGCGCGTTTCTATTGATCCTTTCTCTTAAATCAGCAACTTCAACTCTTTGGGTCACGTCTTCCGTTTCATTATTCTCCTCTATTTCTTTGAATTCAGGGCGAGGACGTATTGGAAACATACACCGTCTGTCGAACATTTTTCGCAGGCGGCGATGTTCCCACGGAACTTTACTTCGGATGAGAACAGCCGATCGAACTTTTGGTAATTCATTTTCTCTCGGTTGACCAAATTCATCTTCCGATTCGGAGACAAAACCCTCGTATTCATCATTTTCTTCAACCAAATCCTCTTCCTCTTCTTCTTCCTTACTTATTTCTTCTGCTTCCGGATTAATTAACTTTCTATTAGTAGTCTGAGGTGCAAATTCGGTAT